GCTGGCACTACACCGCGGCAGGTGCTACCCCGGCTGGATCCGCAGCGAATCAGGTCTCGTCACTGCGATCTGACGCAGGTTTGGCGAACCGACCGCCTATTCCGGGATCAAGGTCGTCCGTCCCGTCAGTTTCCCGTGCGGCGCTCCCTCGCCTCTGCCGCCCAGAAACCAAAGGTCAGAGGTCGGCTCGTTACTCGTCGGCTCTATCCCGAACTGCCTCCATGCGCGTGAAGAAAAATAAGAAGAGAAAGATGTGCCGCGGCAGCGCGCGTGCGCGCGGCGGATAGGCCGCTCAGAGCGGCGGACAGCGTGTCGTCCCGTGACGGTCGGCGGCGGCGGCGGTCGAGTTCCCCAGTGACGAGCCGCCTGATCAGGGTCAGCCAGTGACGTCAGTCGGGAGCAGTCGGCCGCCGACGGCGTCCCGGTAGTCGGCAGGGCTGGGCGGCTGGCCGTGTCACGGTCAGAGGATTATTTATGGGGCACCCGGCCACCACAAGTCACCATTACCGGAGGGGCGAGGCTGGTAGGGGGTGTGACGTCGGCTGGGCGCAGAACTGTCGGTGCTGCAATGCGTGCATCGATTGAAAGCCGCCGACGTGTGCTTTGCCTGCGGCCGAGGACAAGAAACGAGGACTTGGATTCAACGATGCTTTGTTCGAGTACTCTTGGACCCAATCATTGGCTTGATCATGCATTTAGAGGCCAGCTGGAAAATAAAGTGTTGACTGACACCATGCACTCATGTCGCAATTTGTGTCTCGGAAACGTATGCCCTGAATATGCAGTATGTCCACAGCCGTCCCTGCAAAGCATTGGGCTAAATTACTAACAAACAGCAGTTACTAGTTTCCTCCACTGATAGCGAAATTTCTTATGTTATCAGGACAAAACTTCCAAGCAAATGCAAGACAAGTGCGTGCTCGTGGATCTCAGCGGTTTAAATTCAGGATGGTCTCCGAACAGCGCCGCGGCTTGAATCCAACTTCCCCGTAGCGGCTGCCAGGGAGCTCTTCTCCGACGTTCCTTGTCTCCGATCATGACCGTCGTCGTCTTCCGTCGCGTACCGATCACTCGGCGAGATCAAATATTCAACAACCGGCCACCCCTCTGATTGACTGATTGACTGATGCATATTCTATTGATTGCCGCCTCGACGGCGATGGAGCCTGGGGGTCCGGAGCGGAGGAGTCTGCTCTGTTCAGGCGGTCGCGGCCGTCAGGAACGTCCCACCAGCGGCGTCACCAACCGACAGGCCCATGTCCAACATTGACGGTCGCATTCTGTATAAGGTTTGTGTGCTAGCAAACGTCAATTTAAGCGATGGATATTTATTTATGTCTTAGGTCACTGCACCACATTTCTCCATATCTGGCGCAAAGGTTACTCTTTAGCACCGTACACAATCGGCGTTGGGTGCAAGCAATTTCAAAATGTTGGCCAAACTGACATTGGTATTTGATTTGAATATTGACACTGGAACAGACCATTGTCAGATTTGTTTTATGGTCCACAACTAAATATAGTTCTAGAAAGTTCAACGGCGGGCTACCGCATGATGTTTCATCAAGCTATCCAAGGCATTTCCTCAGTTGCTTGCATACGCTGACACGCTACGCGCTCAGATGACATGAGCTCCCAAAACACTAAACACAAAGGTAAAGATCCCCAATCATCTTTTATTTAAGAAGACAGCAGTTTTAGTGATTCTCAAAATCGGGTATCCAACACAGGTTAGTGCCAAAATGACTTGTTGAAGTCTTCTCTAACAACTTTAATTGAGCTGTAGTTATGAGCAGGGGTTTTGTGATGTTGGTATTCGCTTACTGTAGGATGTTTTAAAATTCCGTTTATTCCGTTCCGCAAGGTTGCCAAAATGTGCCAAAATGCCAAACTGCCAAAATGCGTAAAATTCTGTAAGGTTGCCAATACTGGAATATCCAGCTGTTTGGACTGGTAACTTTTACCCTGCCACACCAAAAAAAAAAACAAACTATAAGCCGATGCTTTCCATTTGGCAAATGCTTATAACGGTATATTTTGCACACCAATTGTTTGCTGCTTTCTGATTTTTCTAACTTTCCATCATGCAAATGCACCGTGAATATGAAGCAAGTAGGTAAAGTCAGGCAGATGTGCAGAAAGAAAAAGGAAAGCATTAAAATCGGAATTGGGACTCTACCAATGCACCATAAGTGCATTGGCCAAAATGATGAAGAAGCAGCAATAGACTTCCGCTACTTATTACTGTGGACTTGATGAAATAAGAACAAAGTAAATTAAACATGACAAAGAAATTGTTTCGATACAGAATACATGGAACCCGGCACTGCCTGAAATACCCTGCAGTTATATTTTCATCTCTAACCTCATGTATTTAGCAGGGTATTATAACCTCATTTTCATCTCTAACCTCATGTACAGTTTTTTTAGAAGGTACTTTGTGTGCCGCACGCAACCTTTCCATCACTTGTGCAACACCTGATCGGCATTTGTAGCAGCATGTTTATCTGATGGTCGACTGTTTATTGAGATGTGTGGTAGAAGTCGACAAAATCTACTTCCAGTTGCCGTTCACCTTCCCAACATTTCTGTTTGAAATGGCTTTATTGACATTTGTCTGCTGGTGCAGCCGGTTAGCTGCACCTCCTGTCATATCTCCCAAGTGGAGTATGATACTGTTGTGTTCATGTGCTGTGGTCCTTTTGAGCAAAGATGGTTTAACATGTTTGGAAATCATACTCCAGTATGCTGACTTGCTAAGCCATACCTTTCAATAATTCCGGTGTAAATGTACACGCTTAAGAACACATTTCTAATTGAAGCTGATGATGTATTTAGATCAGAGATGTACGTGTCAGACATGCATAGTAGCCATCATTGGTTTCTCCATAGTTTGTCAATTTATTGAAGCAACATACTGTTTTGCCCAGGCATACTGCGTTTTCGGTGATATGTTCATTAGAGCAATTACGGTAACTGCTGGGAATATCCAACGCATGCTAGTTGATGTCCACGTTCTTCCTGCAAGGCACAAATTATTTCCTCTGAGAAGATGTACTGCGTCAAGCATAGGACTGCTCGACCGCGACCCAACATTGATGCCCTATACTGAGTTACTTATAATTTTGAAGATTTGTGATGCGATAAAATGCGAGATGTCTCAAACATTTAGTTGTATGCAAAATCTCTGTTAAACATTTCGTTGGCAAATGTAAAACCAAGCCGGTCTACATCAGCTGTTGGTCGGCGAAATTTTTGGACTGCGACCGGCATCACTCGTGCACACGAACGCATGCAGAACCATGCACCACACATGTCAAGCGGCACGTTTTGACACGGAAGCTGCGGCCAGGATGCGAACGGCGCCTGCATCCTGCTGGGCCCGCTGGGCGTCGGGCTGCGTCGGCCGCCTTTCACCGCGGTCGCCGGAGCGGCGCGGCGTTTTTGCGTCCGGCGCCTCCCGCGGGAGCGCACTCGGCCGCCTCCGGCGCCGGCCCGGTTCGGGCCTCGCCACTCTATTGGTGGGGATGACACGACCCTCCATAAATTGGAGCGGCCACCGGAGCGCGCCCGGCGGACGCGACGGCCGATGCGGAATTTAGGGCCGCCGACGCGCCCACTCTTGACCGATCGCTGTCCGCGTGTCGGATGTGGAGGATCGGGGCACGCGGGGTCGGTGCGGGTCCGGCGCGCGCCAGCTGTTCGGAGCTGGCCGGCCAGCCGCCACCGACTCGTTGGCCGTCGGGCCGGAGCGCCGGCTGGGAGCAGAATGCGCTGGCGCTGGAAGACTGACCGGGACCTTTATTAGGACCTACACAGAACGACTGCCCACGCCGGCTGGGAGCAGAGTGCGCTGGCGCTGGCAGACTGACCGGGATCTTAGGACCTACACAGAACAACTGCCCGCGTGAAGAGGCAGGCGGACAAACAGAAGCATTCTCGACAACGATGAAGGGACCCCCGGCTGGCATCCCGGGAGCCTGAGGGAAAGTCAGGCTCCAGGGATGGGCACAGACGCATGGTGTACTCCGCATCATACCTTTACATGAAATGTTCGTGGCGATCTCCCTCATTTGCATGCTGAAATTGTATTGAGGAATGGTGGGGCAAGGCGGACAGAGTAGATGAGGGTTACTGCCAGGATTTTCGTAACGGGTAGCGGGGGTAAGGGGGAGGGGGAGAGCAGCAGAGGAAGTGGAGCATGAGAAAACGGATGGAGACGTCTATACGGTGCTAGTGTAAAAAAATGCAGGCCTAAGGGGCCCGCTCCCGCCCCCCCCCCCCCCCATGTCTTCGCCCGTGTTGTAGAATGTGCAGGCAGCTCTTGTACAGTCCGTATTGGTGATACTACATAGCCAGCGCTTACTGAAAGTGATAACATTGCCTAAGAACTCCTCTGAACGATATCACGCGAGTCGGGTGGCTGGCTCCTATATATTTGCCGAATAAAAAGTCCTGTATTAATACCGTGCCATATTAAAGTATTTTGAGGCGTATATCATAATCATTAGATATTTTGTGCCGCATTTTCCTGCTGGCACATTGACAATTGCCATATTTTTATTGCGCGTGGCGGAAGGAAATGCTTTCAAGACGGTTTGCTATAGCAACGCAGTTTTATGAAACCGCAACCGGTGGTGCAGGATATCGCTAAATTAATCGTAGCTGAAGACGCAATTAAGCTGTGCTGTAAATAATGATTTTGGAATCGTTTTCGCAAATTCTCGTGTTATCCCTGTATTCTAAAGTTCACAGACATGTCTTTCTGAAGCATACTTATAACGCTAGTAGGCTTTGGTCCTTTGTATCTTCCTTGACACAGCTCTAGGTGGGGCACAATGGATAATTTTCTCGGTACCCGCACACAGAGGAACATTTATTGCAGAGTGCGATGCAAAAGATTTGAAACGACTGCGGAGGTATATCTATCTATTTTACGGAGTGTCTGATACCCAGACAGTACGAGCGCCTTGCTAACGATTATCGTTTGATCCTTTCAGTCAGAAGAATGGCGGCAACCTATCTGCAATTCTGGATTCTCTCCATCAGGGCTATGACAAGAGACTAAGGCCTAACTATGGAGGTAGGTGCACCGCCGCCGTAACAAATGGTGGTGTAAAAAACAGCTGTGTAAAGGCTAATTGAAATGCTGCTGGGATCTGGCTGCGATTTGGCCACTCCTCGAGATATCAAAAATATGAATCTAATGCGAGTATGTGTTTGGCTTTCAGTATACTTGACTTAAAGGATCACAAACAAATCCAGTATCGTTGATGTTAACGAAAGTTGTATTTTCAAAAACATTCCTGGTGTTACCTTCTGATACATGAAGTGTATTGCAATGGGAAATGCATGGCTTGCAGCTTCCTTCAGTCATCTTAAAGAAGTCGGTTATTCTAATAGGCATCTTAAAGGAGTTTAGAAGTAAGTGCCGTCCTGGACTATTAAGAGTCTACGCTCTGTTGATATGTGCAACCGGTATTTTAATAAGGCACTGAATGCAATTGGAATCCAAAACACCATATACACCTTTTTATGCTATAACTTCAATAGTATATGAGCACCAAATATTGCAGAAATTACGAAAAATAAATCATCTAAGCTTAAGGAAGCCTTTCAAGTACCAAACGTTTCCACTTCTGCACCAGATGACCTCTTTTAGAGTTGCCTGGATAAATCCCCCCCAAAATAAGCCGATGGTACAGAAGTCACTTCCTTGTGTTGGCGAATACTTTGCGAGTAAAACAGTTTTCGCGGTCCACCTATTTCGCGGAGACCTCCCAGAGCGCGGCACCGATCACATTCCCGCTCTTCGCAATTTCTTGAAAGCATTCTTGTAAAATCTTGAAAACGCAGTTAAGTGGATGTTTTTCTCAGAAGCATGGGTGGAGAATACTGTGTGGCGGGTGTGGCAACAGGGATATTGACTGTCACTCAAAATGTTCATGGTTTAATAATATGCCTGTTGAAAGACGGCCGGTCTGATGGCGTTGCAGGGCTAGCCAGCTTTTCAGTATCTGTCCCCTCTGCTCCAGAAGGTCCCGTAAACCCCCCCCCCAAAAAAAAGGCCCACGCCAATCAGGTGTAACTATTTATCGCAGCAAGCGGGGCCCGCCCCCCCCCCCCCCCAAAAAAAAGATGATTGTCTCAGTGGACTATCACTGTGCTCAAGGCACGGAAATTAGCAAAAATCTCAATGAACCGCTAACGTCTCATCACTCCAAAGTAGGGTGGACACGGCGAGCACTGATGTGCGCTCGCTGCGACACAGCGAGCGATATTTACACTGATCTGCAGAACGCGACGTTCTATTATCACCCAATACTGTCGGCGAACAACGGGTGGAGGCAAAAGCTGCTACAGGCGCGCTGAACAGTGGAGGCACATTGTTGGCAATGCCATGGTGTCGCAAATCGCGGGAGTCTCTTCGCAGCGCGCGGGGGCGGCTGCCGCGACGACCCGCTATCAGTGCAGGAGGTCGCCGCGGCGGCGCGATGACAACTGACCGATGACGGCCGCCGCGGCCCCCGGGGGCCTGACAGACGCTCACCGCCGCCAGATGACGGAGCGAGCTCCGACAAAGGCGGCGGCGGCGGGCCTGCGCGCCGGCTCGCCCGTCGCCCATTCGTCACGGGGCAGTGGCGGGCCGCCGGCGCCGGCGACTCCCACAACCGCCGCGGCCCCTCGCGCCCGGCCAAGCGGCCTGCCAGGAGTCCTGGCGCGTCGGCGGGCACGGCTCGAGTTGGCGGGCACAGTTCGAGGGACTCTAGAGAGCCGCGCAGCCCCTCCTGACGCGTCGGCGGGCGCCGTTTGAGGGATGCTAGAGAGCCGCGCAGCCCCTCCTGACGCGTCGGCGGGCGCCGTTTGAGGGATGCTAGAGAGCCCCCCCCCCCCCCCCGGCGCGTTGACGGGCATGGCTCGAGTCGGCGGGCACGGCTCGAGGGACGCTGGAGAGCCGCCCCCTCCCCCCCCCCCCGCCTGGCGCGTCGGCGGTCACGGCTCGAGTGACGCTGGAGAGGCGCGTGGTCCCTCCTGGTGCCGCTCTGGACCGGTGGTTGGTAACCGGTGGTTGGGTTGGGTTTTTGGGAACGACAACAATAGTCATTGGGCTGCTCTATCTCCTGCTGCTTTTTTCCCCACTTGGTTTGCCTCTGCTATTGACACACACCTTGTTTTGTAGTCAATCACCGACGGCATTTTAGTTAATAACATATCGTCGGTATATTATATCAACGATACAACATGCCTCCTACACAGCCAATGCAACATGCGCCACCCGATATCTTGGAAGAAAGTTGGCGCCACCCTGAAATTCTTGTTTAGCAAATGTCTAAAGCTTTGCAACATGTACGATACTTGTGTTTTCCTACCACTCAGCATAACATGCAGATTGGTCCAGTTTATACCTTAAGCCCTTAAACACACATTTGCATCCCGTTCGCTTGCCGTGGTTTTCAACGATATGCAAAACAGACGTGTCACGCTCACCCCAACACAAGTGCAAGTGTAAGGTCGGAGTAGACTGAAAAGTAGTGACCTGCTGTACGTCAGCTGAGTGACTCAAGACTGCCAACCGTCACATAAATCTGGAATAAATCACCCTGATACCACTCAACATGATACAACTCACCTAACTCTCCCTCACGTAGAGTTACATAATCTTCTCATAGCATTGCCTGTCCCACATCTCTCTCGCTCGGCCCCATTGTCAGTCTTCTCAGGCGCACTTCAGACTCCCGAAGCGCTGCACCCGCCCCTCCCTTCGCCGCCGTCGGGGGAGGGGGAGAGGGGCGTCACCCGACGCCGCGCCAGCTGACGGCAGGTGGTCGGCGACGGCGGTCGCGGCGCCCCGACCGCATTCCGCGCTTGCCGCCGCTCCGAAAACTATCCATTATGCGGGTAAATTGAGTGTTTGGCGCCGGTGCCGGTGCGTGATGAGTTCATCTGCCGGGGCAGGCGACGTGCCGTCTCGCCCTCTCTCTGCGCTCTTTCCGCACCCTCTCGCCCTCTCTCCGCGCTCTTTCCGCCTCTCGCCTTCGATGTCGACCTGGCCGGCGGTCTTCGCAGCAATATCCCGACTAAATATTCGCCGCACCGTCGGCCGGGCGGGGGTGGTTTCCTTTATCAGCGGCCACTGACGACTGAGCCGCGCCGTTCCGATTGAATGATGAGCCTGCGAGGGGTCGTTGGCGTTGTTTATGGAGGATTTACGCGCGTCTCCGAAGCAGCCAGCGGCCGACGTCGGCTAGCCGGCCGGCTCAGCGCCGTCGGCGGCGAGCCAGCCAGAGGAAGGCTTCTCCCGCCCGCCTGCTCGGGGTCAGAGACGTCGCCTTTCGCGTACTCAGGTCAGCCCGCACAGGCTGGCAGAGAGCAGTGGCAGGCCGCTGAAGGGGCCAGTCTCTTGCACCTGTAATGCACCAGGGCAACAGAGCTCACTTCTCACGGACGCGCTGAGTGAGGCTGAGAGCGGCCGCTGCCACAGTTGCAGCGAACCGAGCTGGCGGAGCCGCCGCTCGCCCACCGACGCTTCTCTCCCTCAGACAGCCCCTCCCCTCGCCGGTAGAGGTCTCCCGCTGCCGCTCGAGCGAGACGCCCGCCGTCGACAGCGGTCCGGCTTACGCGGCCTAGCTGGGCCGCCGGGGGCCACTTTCGAGTGCGAGTTCTGACGAGTTTGACACCAATCAGGTGCAGGTTCCACAAATCGGCGCCGTCCGCTTATTGTGTCAGCTGATCGATACGCGGCCGCCGCCGACGGCGTTGAGCACCACTAATAAGACGCCGTTCATTTGGGCCCGTCAGCCGTAAACTGTGTCAGTCCACGGACCGCGTCGGCGCTTCGACGAGCCGCCAAGGAGGGGAGGGGGAGACAGCGCTCGCTGGAGTCCGGCGACGTGGAGAGCGGACGTCCGGGGCCCAGTCGGCCCTCCCGTCCCGGCAGTGCAGAGTTCGAGTCCAGAGGGCCGCCGTCAATCGATGCCGGTCCCGCCGCGCCGCCTGTCCGCCGCCCGTCAGCTGGCCAGGACGCGGCTCGGGTGCCGAGCGGCTGACCGGTGCCGGTGCCGGTGCCGGTCCTCCGTCGTCCGCCGCCGCCAGGGGCGCGCCCTCACCGCCCGCCCCGACGAGCCCCGCGCCGGCGGCGCTCGGGGCGGCAGGGGTGGCGTGCCGCGAAGCGTGTTGATTGCGTCGCGCTCGGCACGGCCGGCCATTTGCGCGGCTGGTGCGCCCTTTCCCATTCTGCCGAAGTTGAGCGCTCTTTTTCAGGCTCACGTGCGCCTTTGCAGAGAACGTGGTATCGAGTTCGATTTCGACTGATTCCAGCCGTGATTGAGCCGGTGCCTGGCACGCGAGCCGCGCGATCTTCGACCTGCGGTTTCTCTCTTAACTTTGCTACTGACAGCAAAAATGGAGCTGGCCTCCGCAGCAGAAATGAGCTTTCAGGCTGCTTCTTTTTCAGAGTGAGCACAGACCAAAGACCACACAAACAGTAGTTTACGTTAAAAATGGAGCAGCTACAAGGCGTTTGGACGGCTGTATGGGTATTGAGATGGTCCCAGCCACATTCCGTGCTCGCGGTGGGCGTGGAAAGTTCAGACTTGTTTGTCTGTTAAAAGCTTTGTAAAGTAAAGCTAACATTTGAACTGACAAACAAGGCGTCGTTTTCCACCCGTGGCGAAACACAATCTAGTTTCGTCGTTCTGGAATTAGTCACGTCAGGGGTAAAGTCCCACATGCGTATAAAAAATAATGTTTCGTGATTCAAGCTCAACGCCTAACAATTCGATGCGCATTGTTTTAGTGGTGAGACCCACCGGTGCGACCTCCACCCTCCTCTTTGACCAGATCTTACAAATTTCTATTAAGACGAGGCATAAATACGCCATGGTGAAAGTCGACTATTTTCCTGCAACCCAAGGAAGACACGCCACTCATGCCGACGTTTCCCCGCGCGCGGACTGAGACGGTCAGCGCGGCGGGGCCGCACGCGCCGTCCGCGGAGCCGGCAGCCGGCCCAGGCCTCCGCCAGCCCCAGTCGCCACCGTCGAACGCATGTGTAGGTCCGCCGGCGACCGGCGGTCGCCGTTCACGACCCGAGTTGGGCCACTTTGGGCCTCGCGCCGTGCAAAGTTCGGCAGTATGGTCACAATAAACCACCGCTGCCCGGGCGGCTCGAACGCCGGAAAAGGCCGCCGGCGGCGCGGCGTCGCCGACCGGGCGGCGACGCGCGGACGTGCGCCGCGCGCCAGCCGACGGACGCCGCCGACAGCGGCCGGCCGGGCCCATCTCCGATTCCTGCCGAGTCAGTCGATCTGGAGCTAGTCAGTTCAAACAGACCGTGATACAGACCCAATCGAAGCGGTCAGGCTGGGAGGGTGGGGGGGGGGGGGGGGACGACGCCTGCGCAGCGGCGCAGTCGTGTGGGTAGGCTACGTCCGGATCGCGCGTCTCAGCGCCGTCTGTGTTGACACAGGCGGCTCTGACGCACAGCAGAGGCGCGTGCCGGAGGGACAGGAGTGCAGGGCGGTCGCTAAGTTAGGCTAGTTTCGTCGTTTGTTGAACTTTTTAACTGTGTGAACTAAGGCAAACGAATTAATTCTCTGTTTGCTGGGCTTAGGGCTTCCGGGAAAGATGAAAACAGGCTAATGATCTTACACAGATGTAGTTTGTGAGGGGCACATCAGAATGAACGTTGCCATTGCATTGCCTGCCGGACCAATTCCCTTCTCTGCCTCGTGCATATTTCAACACCTTGCCTTCATCTCATCTTGGAGGTAAATTAGGCGAGATTCAAGGGATTTTTTTTCTTGGAACGATAAATTGTGCAAGTCACGTAAAGAACACTATTTTGCTGATGTGCCTAATGTCAGCATGTAAATCGTTTCTACCTAAGCACTGAAAACGTTTGGTGAGTAGCGAACAGTGCTGGTTTCGTGCATTCCATGGATCTACCAAGAGTAATTCTGGCATGATAAAACGTTACGCTGAAATGCGTGAGATGTCCATCAGCCCGCGATAACTCACGGATTATTTATTCCACCAATAGCAAACGATTCACCGCTGCACCAAGTAAAACTTCGCAAACTACGTTCTGTGTAAAATTCCTGCGTAATAGAGATTAAAGAAGTTGTTGAGCATATTGCCCACTTCCAGCCGAGACGCAAACGTCCAAACTAGTAACAACACAATGAAGCATCACACCGAGCAATCTACCACAAACGTACCACACGAAATTGTTGAAACAAGTAACCATGCCCGCTTCCAGCTACCCCGCATGTGCCGCGTATAACTGTTGCCAGCGTGGCCTAATCACACCCCATCTACACCAGGCTTCTTTTCCGGTGTGGGACAGCGTGATGGGCATCCTCTACCACCACGTGCAGTCTGTGCCCTTCTTCTGTCTTCTCTGGTCTCCTCTATCGTGTCCCCTGACCCCAGCCTGAGCATTCATCCCTGCTTCTGCACGCCTCCTCCACCCCGCCTTTTACCCTGTCTCGTCCTGTGTTGTCTACGTCCTGTCCCGCCTCTTTCGGCAGGTGCACCGGTGTCAATGGCCTGTCCCGATCTACGCCGCTTTGTTCTGCCTACCTGCCGTGTCCGGTCTCTTTGCTGTGCCCGGTCTCCCCTGCCCTCTTCGGTCTCTCATGCCGTGTCCGGACTCCCCTACCGTGTCCTGTCTCTCCCGCCACATCAGTCTCCTCGCTGTGTCCGGTCTCCCTCTCGTGGTGGTCCCCACACCGTGTTCCGTCCCCTGACGTCGGCGTCATCCAATCAGCGGGCGGCACTACCGGCCGACCGGGCGCAATATCCGCCGCCAGGCTTTGATGCCGCCGCCGTCGGCCGTCTCGCGGCCACGGCGCAGCCGCACTGGGCCGGGCCCACCCCGGCAATAAAGCACCCAACACACGTCATAAATATTGCGTCTCGCCCGCCCCGGCCCACTTTATCAGAGACGCACGACGCACCTTCCCGGCCATCTTCGGACACTCCTAAACGAGCCGCGCTGCGGCAGCACGCACGGGGGACGCCGACAAAATAACAATATTTTGAGGTAGACCGCGCCGCGGCCGCCGAGCCGCCGGAGGAAATTTATGACCTACTTTCTTCATTACGAAAAGTCATTTGAAGTTTCTGAGATGCGGTGTCGGAATACAGATTGGCTTTTAACTCTCGAGTCCCGTTGGTCGATCGTGCTTATTGGGATATTCCGTATTGTGGTGAGCCGCTGAACACGTCTCGCGAACGGCACTGTCGTATGATGAAGTACCGCATGCAGCAAGCAGTCTCCACTCAGAATAAATATTGTGCTCAGATGACTGCAATTAATCAAGCTTATGAACGAACTGAGCATTAAAGATTCAAATCGCGTGCCTTGGCAATATGTTACGCGCGTATGTAATGCGTTCCACTTCAAAGGAAGCAATACGAATATTTGCTACGACACCTAAGTCTGCCCAGTGCTCGTAGAAACCCGTGACTGATATGTACCAAACTGACTGTGTATCACGAACGAGTGTCCTGCCGTGTCTACCGGGGCCCCGCACGGCCCCCGCGTGCAATGCTGACGCCTCTGCTGTGTATTGCAGGCACGGCAGTGGACGTGGGAATCACCATGCATCTTGTCAGTATTTCGTCATTGTCTGAAGTCCGAATGGTACAGAACTGTAGCCTAGACGCCGCCTATTCTGCCGTTTTCTTTGTCACACTCACCACTGACACGCCCGGCCGGCCGCTCTGGCCACACCGAGTGCTCCACTGGCGTACTCCCACTCTGTACAGTGTACAGCTGACCGAGCGGCGCCGGCCGAAGCCCCGGTGCGCGCCGCCCGGCCACCACGCGCACGGCCGCCCTGCTAATCGCCCGGTTAAAAAATCTCCGCTATTACGGCGAGCGATGACGCGCGCTACGCCAGGCTATCTCTGGCCGCGTGCGCCGCGGTGGGGCGGCCGATGCGATAGTGGGACAGCGCCCCGGCCCAGCTCGGGCCGCTGCTGCCGCCGCCGCCGCCGCCGCCGCCGCCTGCCCGGCCGCTGCCGACGACACATTAAATTGACGGATCACTGATAACGCCACTAAAATTCATAACTTCGGGGCGGCGGCCGAGGAGTGCGCCACCGGGCGGTGCATTGTCGCGGCGACCGTTCGGAGAAGAGCGCCGGCGGCGGCCGTTCACGCGGGTCAATCACGCCTGCCGAGCGGCGGCCGCCGCCACCGCCAGCTCAATCGCCCCACGAGACGGATCGTGGCGGCTCGGAGGGCCGGGCGGCGGAGCGCGCGGAACGCCCGCTCTCCGCGCGCTCCGCCGCCAGCCGACCGCGCGCGCCCTCCGATCACTTTAACGACGGCAGCGAGGCGGAGGAGGCGGCGGCGGGCCTGGGCTCGGCGCCGCGCGCCGAACGCGAGCGTGCGTGATTGGGCGTGTGCGTGAGTGCGTGAGTTTGCCGTGTCACGCGAGTCTGATGGCCTTTTCAGGTATCCCTGTCTCGGTCGGGATCACCATGCATCTAACGTCGATCTCATCTGTTTCGGAAGTGCTCATGGTACAAAATGCGTGTCTCCGACGACCGTTAGACGCTTGAGGCGACTGCTCAACGGGACTTGTTTGCTTGGTTTCTCTTGCGTTGGTTGGACTCTCGCTTCTTGCACGTCTCCGTCTTGACCCGCCTCCCGCGGCAGAGGCGGCGTTCGGCTGCGCATGGGGCGGCGGCCCCGCGAACATGACTCCGTCGTCCGACTGGCGCGCCGCCAGGCGTTAAGTGGCTTTCTGGCCTCAGGCTGGGTCGGCCGCGCGAGTTTTGTTTATGTCAGAGCAATATCCGGAGTTGTGTTATAATATTCGTTTTGCGTATGATAGTAACGTCGTTTTATAGAAATTACGTCGCAGGTTCTTTTATTGCTCACCACCTCTGTCAACAAAACTATTCGGCCATATATCAGGTGCGTTCGAGGTTATTTCGAGGAAGTCACTTAATGCGTATACCTACAACATATGTTCTTGATTTGATATTAATTTGTGTTTCTTACTTGTTTCTACTCAAAATTGTGAGCAAAAATATAATCCCGGCAGTCATAAAATTGCGTGAGTTGCCAAGAGAACAAAATTTAGATGGGCCGTGACATTTGTGGATTGAAGCACTATTCTAAGCGTATTGGACACCACTTGGCAAAATTCGTGTTCTGGAATGCATTTTAGCAGTTCTAAACAACCTAAACAAAATGCGTGATGTCGATCTACAGATTTCTCCTCAGAGAGGACATACTACATGACATAACGTGTTAAACTGAAGATGGATTGCTGCTAACGGAATGACACCGCCAAAAATGGCTTCCGCGCAAGCCGCTGCATAGTGCCATAATCCGCAAATGTCGCCAGCTTCACTATTATCTCCGGCTTAAATGATGCCACCACACGAGACAGGGCTGGCTGCTACTCCTGACAAACCTCGCCCACTACCCGAGGCTAGGTCAGGCCATGTCAGGTCCACAGCCTGGTCACATCTTCGTGCACTGAGCCCAGAAACGAACTGATGTAACTTTTAAATTTATTATTCAAGGTGCCGCAATAACTTGCTGTGACAAAGTGTATGTTGTCTACATACCACAAATGCAGTGCTTCAGCTCTTGCTACCTCATCTTTCCTTTCTGGGCACATCTGCACATCGGCTGTTCTGCTTTTTCATCGCGCAACCGTCAGCTAAATAAAGCCGCATAAACCCCTTAGTTCATTTTATGTAAAAAGCATAAGTCGTTACGGTAAAAGATCATTGCATCACTTGAGCATACCGCAGTGGCCTACGAGATTTATGCGTCTTTATGAAACTATGAATAACATGTTGTCCAATGGTTCTGTGCATCTGTGGTGTCATCTGAAAACCTTAATTTTATTGAACCTAATCCTCTGCTTATTTGTGCGTTTAACTGTGACGTCCAACAAAACGATTAGACTGTATGATGCTGGTACGCCAAAGCAGGCAGCTATCTTTTCCGATTCACACGAACATGCAAATCAAAACTGCTCTCAATGTTGTCCAGAATAGTTTATCGTAACTGACAAGAGTTTTATTGGGCTTTGTCTCAGAACAATCGCTCGAGCAATTCATGTTGAGCGCGGGAATCGTGTTCATTTCAAACGAATGCGGCGTTTCTGACACAACTCTTTTCTCAGGATTTCACCAGCGACTTCTTTTTCCGGCAATTTTGGCAAGACCCTCGGCTTGGCTTTAAAGCCCAGGAAGGCCTGTCCATGCTCAGCATCGGGTCTGAATACCTCAAGAACCTGTGGGTACCTGATACATATTTCCCCAACGAGAAAACTAGCTACTACCATCTGGCTACCACGTCCAACGAGTTCCTCAGAATATACCCAACAGGCGATATCTTGAGGAGCATCAGGTAAGATCACATGGTATTTTTCAGGGCGTCTCCTGGACCAAATTGGGCCTTGTCACAGGGGGTCTCCCTGGCGTTGTTTTAAGGAGGAGCACCGCAAGCGTGCGGTCTTACCAAGTTAGTACATGCATTACATTCAAGTAAATAGATGTCAGCAATGCAAAAATCCAAAACTTGGGGCTTTCTGATTATCCAGCAAAGGGCCTGGCCATCCAAAACAGGATCACTTCTTTCAGAAAGGGCCACCCGATGCATGGAGGGGTCTTTTAATTCAGACAAGGATGCTTTCGGTTCCCGAATGGGCCTTTAAATCTAGCCAAGGAGCCGCGTTATGCAAAAACAGGGCATTCTGATAAGAAGCCGCGGCCATCTGTCGCATGAAAAAAGCCTCATGTTCCAGAAATGGGGCATTCTGAATAACGACACCTCTCAGCCCAGAATAGGGGCCTCCTAGTTCGTAACGGGACATCCTGAGCCAGCAACAAGCTCCTAATATAATATTTAACATACCTATGTAGCGTGGGTATCTTATTCACAAAAATGGCCTCATGATCCAGAAATGAGGCTTCCTGACGTAGAAAAGGGTCTTCTGAGCCCGATTTATTCTTGTCTAGCTCAATAAGGGACCTCTTTGATCTGAATGTGGGTAATTTACGGGCAGCTATAACCTCTTCAGTTTGGAAAAGGGCCTTCTAAACTTTCGAGGAGGCAAAAACATACTCCTACCCCCTGCTCGCCGACAGGAGAGGCAACTGCCTGTCTGCCCCAGCCCCTCCCCCTGTCGCGCCACCCATGATGATGACCACGATGCTTTATCACTACCTTCTGTTGTTGGCACCAGTTTGTGCAAATGATTTGGGGGAGGGGCGAGCCGCGGGCGAGACGGTCTAAATTCTCCCATAATTTGAGTTTGCTTGCTGTTTTATTCCAGTTTACTTTCATAAATGGAAATTAATTTTGTGTATCACTTATCAAAAAAAGTTTAATTTGAGCTGCATAGCAGTTATAGCCTTCAAGTGATGACCGGAGAAGGCATCATGTGCTATTAACTTCTCGTCATTCATGTTCGCATTCCAACCAAAGCGTTGGAAAGAGCCAAACAAGCATTGGGAGCGGGTAAACCCTTCTTGGAGAACCGGGACCTTCACGCAAGGATATTAATCAACACCCACGTTTACTGGTACGTTGCATTGAAGCTTTCAAGCTGAAAACGCAAAATGGAAAAGTCTCTCCGGCTGTGGTATGAGCAGACGTCACAGACCGCATTTATTCACAGCATGGTATTGGGCGGAGGAGAGATGTCATTCATTGTGCGCATGACGTCTCGTAAAATTTGTAGGCTGTTCCGCATTGCACGCATGTCTTCGGAACAGACGTGTTTGCAGGGGCTTAGTATATGCTGCCATCTAGGGGACAGCTAGGAACCTACGCTGTTCATGCCGGCGGCCACGAGTACGCAGCGGCTGCAATACCAATCTAAAAATCGATTTCGGGCCCAGCTGGGCCAGGTCATAGACGTTCAACATTTTCTCACAGTTCAAGGAAGACGCACTCAGCCAGTGGCTTTGAAGAAATGAAAGGGCCGATCCAATGGCTAGACAAGCGCTATTCGTAGGGAAATTGCACTGATGAAACATCAAGACATTTGTACATGCTGATGATTTTATTATGCACATTTGCGAATAGCCACCGAACGTAATTTGCTATGTAGTCGCCCACTTGACGACGATAGCGCTTAAGAAGCCACATAGCTTTAAGTTTGTTTCCTTTGTTAAATAAACACTCAAAGGCCTGAGTTAACCGCCTTTGCCGCCTTAACCACCCGAGTTAACACATGTTGGCGTGATTGTGAATTTATTCACTCTAAATGCAATAAGCTTAGCTGAACTGCCGGTTTACTATAACGCTATGCCTAGGCTATACTCTAAAATATGATTTATGCGTAATTACATTTCCATAAGCTTAGGCTTAATGTCCATAATAAGTGACAATAACAAACTGCCGCCAAAAATGCATCGCTTAGCTGAGCGTGCACCCCTCCGACGCACAGGCATGCCCCAGCGCCATATAGCCAAGGAGAATCGAATCCACTCCGAAAAGTGCAACATCCAGGCTAACGGTTTGAAGGAGATCCCGCTGTTGAATCTGCTTTGATTACGCAATATTACGACCATGGGGAAAGAGTAATATCAAAATCATTCGCCTCGATAGATATAAGCGAGTGAAGTCGCCTGGGCGCATCGGACGACCAGCAACTTTGATCGATGAAATCTGCCAGGTAATTCTCAGAAATTATTACATTCACTTCTGCGACTCTAGACAAATATTTGGTCAGGACCCTCGCTGGTCAAGAATGGAAGGTGCCACGCATGTGGGGCCATTAATAATGTCATGGAAAAAATATGATATAGAAGCGCTGTAAAATCTAGTGCTACAACGCTACATTAATTGTACAACAGACTCTAAAAAGGGATTTGGTGCCAGGTCAGGCTAGGTCACTGAGCTCTAACGCCACCTGCCAAGTGATTTGCCAATACCGTTCTGCCACCATTTGCGCCATATTGTGTCACATCAGCAGCTGATTTAAAAAATAACAGCTTTTTGGCATCATTTTAGGCGTGGTCGCTGCACCATAAAGTTTGTCACCTTTGCTAGCGTTAAACATTGCTGATGCCTCCCCCGTAGATGTGGCCGCCGTATCACCCCTCGTTCCGTGCGTGCGTGCTCACCGACACCGTCCGCCGCTCGTAACCCGTCAATGTCGGCACATCCAGCGGCCGGCAGCAGGCTCTCCTCCGCGCCTCGCATAAGATCACGCGACGGCGCAGATCAGCTGGGTAATAAGGCGCCGCGGCGGGGGAACCGCCAGGTCGCTCCACTCTCGCCGCTTCGGTCCTCGGGGGGTGATCAGGCTGGCAGCCGCGTCACGCGCCGCACCGTCACGGCCCGGGTGTCACGCACCGCGTCGTCACGCCCCTGTTGTGACTCGCCCCAGCGCAGCCGTGCGCCACGCTCCGTTGGCTCCGCAGGGAGGTGAGGGAGGCTCGTTGTCACCACGTCAGCGTGCAGGCCTGGCGGAAGCGCAGCTGACGAGGAAGGGGTTTTGGTGGCAAGCATGGTTTGTTAGGCGGGACCGTGCTCACTGGGCTGAGTGCTGCACGGTTCTGAAAGGGGAGGAATTTTTACGCGGTACATGATCAAACACGCTCTCTTGTCCCGAAAATTCTGTGTCTCGGTCTATTCCGCGCTCGATTTGAACACAACGCGCCCGCTTTTCTAAACATTTCCATGGATTGGGAGTTCTGGTGTCTAAACAAACCTCAGGACACGTGTTTTAATCATATTTAAGATACCGTTGCTTAAATCTACTAAATTTTATATATCATAGGTATTGCAAGGGCAACTATTATAAGCCTGAGCACATTGCATCGAAATGGAACGAAAACAAGCAGTATGCCAAACAGCAAACAGTTCGGAACAGGCAGCGGGGATTCAACTGTCAGTTTAAATGGTGTCGTATGAACAATGCACTTGCACCTGGTAAATACTACTGAGTCACCAGCAAACCCGCACAGTTGCGGTGTTTCTGAGCAAGAGCTCCCCCCCCCCACCCCCACCCCCTCCCCCGGCGCACCCTCGGGAGTTGGCCATTGTCCTGTGGAGGGTACGGAGCCCATTATTCGGAGCATTGGTGACGTAAGAGCTCCCACACAGGGCGTGGGAAGCGATCAATGACGCCTATGGCTCTGGAACAATAGCCGCTTCAGCTCCCAAATTATTATCTTCGCAGATGCAGTCATCGTCATCTCGGGTCATGCAATGTAATTGCTTTGAGAACATCATTGAACAATTCAGTCAGAACGCTTTCTGTTTACTTTGAAGTCTAAACTTAGTTCGAATATTTAGATTGGCTGTCTAGTTTGTGCACTGTGCATCTCTGTTCTGTCATGGCGAGGTGACGTGACTGGTGGGATCAGGGGCGGATCCAGCCTGGAGGTTTTTTTTTTGGGGGGGGGGGCAAAACATACTCTCAGAGGTTTTGGGGGGCTATGCCCCCCCCCCCCCAGGATCCGCCTAAGGGTGGGATACATTACCCGCTCGCCATCCGACCAACATCCAGCATGGACCCTGTTATAGATCAACACCGACAATCCTCTCCAGCATTTCTGAAACAATATATTTTTTACCCTGCAACGACGGCCCTCCGTTGCCAATTTCAGAATTTGCGCAGGGGTTGGCACTCCGTTGCCAACTCCAGCATTTGTCAACGCATGCCAACAATTCGTCGGAAACTAGTCATCCATCGATTGTAGCGAAGTGTCTGTAAGCTAGTGTTCTCTCTGCTGTGCAAGCATAACTGTGATCAATATTTAAATTAAGGCCTTTTGCCCGCTGTGATGACGACGGTGTCAGCATGCATGGCAATCTGAGTCAGCAGCTGCTGAAAAACAGGACGATCACACTTACACAGAAAGTCTTTTGAGGTGGGTGGCGTGTCACAGAACACAGTCTATTTTTCAATACCAATAACTGATAGACAACACGTGCGCGTTCCAGCGTTCTTATCTCGCCTCCGTTGCCGCCATTACCATGCTGCCATGCTGCCATGTTACCATGACCAGCGCGCCAAAAACAAAGCCTCGTGTGCGATCTGTGGCACTGGTCGACCCTGGTCTAAGGGCATTTCAACGTGACGCTGCTCTGGTTACAGGCTGACCATCACGGCGTCGTGCCCGATGAACCTGATGTACTTCCCAATGGACCGGCAGCTGTGCGAACTTCAGATCGAGTCGTGTACGTATGCACTCGCTACGGAGCGCGCCAAGGCACACGACCCGCGTAATACACACGTATAAACATGTGTGACATGTGTCGCGCTTGACATGTGTGTCATATGATGTGTCACATGTGTGAACCACGCTCATTCACGAAGGATGGTCCGCAGTGTGATGGCAGAGGATAAGGACGCTATTTGAAAGCGAAGAAGCGCGGGCGTTATCAGGTTGACGAGGTGCGTGCATGGCATCGAAGGCCTAGTTCCTTCGGCGGAAGTAATTTGTTCTTGCCCTTTTGATTGGTTTGTCGATTGGTGAAGCGCACGGACTGCCACGGACGTCGCGTTCTGTCCCTGCTTAGTCGGTCCGTGCCATTATGTGCCTTGGTCTGATTTTTGCTTGATCAATTGATTGATCGACGTAGTTTTAATAAGGGTCTGGATTCCAGCTGATGACTGCTGGAGAATTAATGCCTTTCTGATGTTCAAACTTCGGTCGAATGGATAAGCAAAATTAATTATGGACATATGGGGCTTTCACGATTCATTCACTTGATTTCTTGTTACTTTGTCCCAGAGACAGATACGGGGATTCAAAATGCCCCCACAACTTGAAGGAAGACCACACCATTCCATGCGTCGTTGCACACTGCGAGTTTGATGCGTCAACTTAAGCAATGACGCACATGTAGACCGCACTATGTATGTGTCTCCAGCTTCTTGTGACACGCTACGTGCCTTGCTACATATGACTGACAATGCACATCTTGTTTCAGACAAATAACCTCCCAATTTTCAGGCCGGATGACGTATGACAATTCTAATTCTCTTTTTCAATAGCTGCAGCTCAGAAGTGAACAGTCCCAAACATTCGTCAAGGTTCAAACCTGAAACGTGTGTGTTTTGTGTGTTCACACGGGCCGTATGAAACCTCTCAAGGGTGCTTGGTTGTGCGATCTCATGGGGAGGACAGTAGTATGATCCGCCAAGACCTCTGCGATGGAGCGGAGCCCTCCGCTGGTGCTGCCCCAAAGACCCATCATTCGCCCGGCCCGCCGACCACACCGTAACGTGGCCATGTGTGTTTACCTGCAGTCGGCTACGCGACTGGAGATATTCGCTATATGTGGCGGGGCGCCGAGCCGGTTAAGATAGACGAAACTGTGCAGTTGCCCCAGTTTGTAGTTATGGGCCACAAAACGACAGACGTTGTCTTCGGGACGTCGACAGGTAAGCGGGCGGCGCCGGCGCCCGGTGCCGTCTGCCCCTCCCCTCGCGCCCGTCTCGTGTACAGATCCGCGGCGGCCGGCGGCCCGGACCGTGCCCCCCCCCCCCCCCCCCAAGGCCCGCCCGCGACCGGGTCGGCCATCGTCCGACGGGACAGCGCTCGATGGCCGCCTTGCACGAGGCGCACCGCCGCCAGCGGCGCTCCGACGTACACGCTTCGCTTACAGCACACGAACGGGCACCGGCGGCCCGCTCTATCGCGCTGTCTCTTCTCCCTCTGGCAGTTGGCTACACGACAGCTGAGATCGAGTATATCTGGAAGGACGGGACTGACTCGGTTAAAGTGGAGAGTGGCGTCTCGCTGGCCCAGTTCAAAATAATCGGTCACAGACAGAGGACGATTTTGTTTCAAACTTCTACAGGTATTTCGAAGTGCAGTAGGCTCAGTTGGGCATTGCTTTGCGGTCTGGAACTTTGCATTTTGTTGGAGGCGTCAGTGGTTGGATCGTTCAGCGCCCTAGAGGAACCTAATTCCTTTCACGATGACGTTTGGCGAAGTCAAAGCTGAGAAAGACAGTTGATAAATTCCCGTCAGATGGTCACTGGGTAAGCTCACTTGCGTAAACACCATTCTCTCTCGAGTCGGACCGTGGATGTAATTCTGGGGCGCTGAAAATGAACCCACTGGGTACGCATAAATGTTTCTCAACACACTTGCCCAACTGCGCTTAATCGGGCACTTCGGTTTGATGAGAAGCCTTTGTTTGGAACACCCTGCATCACTTTGAGTAATTCATCACACCACTGTTGATAAACAAGGGCGGATCACAGAAGTAGAGTAACTAATCTTTGCTGCAATTCAGCTTTTGAGAATCGTGTTCACTTGAAATTTACCCGTTGAAAAATTCACATAAAAGTGATTGGCTGGAAGACTGGCCTGAAGTGATTCGCCCTTGCTTGAAACTTGAGAGAAGGAGGATTTTTGCGTAAACTGGGTTTATAATTAACGTATTTTTCCGGAGACTGAAGATCTCCACCTGTCTGCCTAAATCTTCTGAGTAGCTGGTGGCCGACCGAAGAGGCACATCGAGTCATAAGGCCACTCGTTTCCGAATTCTTTCAAGTTTCACGGTCACGTGATTCTACGTGCCCACGCAAGCCTGATCACTTAGAAACTGATTCGTTTTAAGCTTTTTTAGGGCTGGTTGATTGCCTAATACACTCAACCTTTTCTATTATTTCCTGGAGAATGAGCTGTCAAAGTATGGGCTGATGGCACTTAGAGTTTTTGTGCCAACCTCGGGGTGGTAAACCATACGCATTGACCATCGCCTCGGGAGTAATCCTTGAGCTTGTTGACATATTCAAGCGGTTGCTCGCTGGACGATGGCAAATGTCGCGAGGTTACCACTTGGCACGTGCCCAAAATTATATGTGTCCTCCACCCGTGTGTCCGGGATTTACCCTCCAGGAAAGAATACAAATGTTTTGAGTGTATGGGAACCACTGACTTGAATGTCGTAGAAGCTCAATGAGTTTACTTCTGTTCCACTTTCATTACACACATGGATCACCCCACTCACTGCCCAAAAGGCAACCGCTTCTGGCATGCTCAGGAAGCTATAACAGATTGTCCCCTGCCTTAATTCTTAGAAGCATGCGTGTTTGAAGTGACCTGTCGAGACGTTTGTATGCACTTGTGCAGCATGAGGGCAAAGGCGCCCATGCGTATTGCTGTTTTGATCGCTGCACGAATTGGCAGCAGCGTGAAAACGGGACTGTTTTAAGTGCAGGCTGAGCCTCTCTCTCCCCTCCTCTCTCCCTTTCTTTCTCTTTCTCTCTTCCCCATCCACCTCTCTCTCTCTCTCCCTGGGCGTCAAGGGCCAGTCCTACCTTCGGGCCAATTTAAAAACAACAACGCTGAGATGAATGATTGAGACCAGCTATCGCTTTTAACACCACCAAATGTGCACTGACATCGTTCAAAACAACATAGAAGAAACTCGGTTGTATTTAAGTTCGATTCTATGCGCCTTTGGTAGCGACAATGACAGTTCTATGAGTGACAGTTCTATGAGACATTTCGACAGTTCTATGAGTCTTTGGTGGTGACAGTGCACACCACCACCAACACCAGAAACAGTCGTTTAACAGCTACTGTCTTTTCAACAACTCGCATCTATTAGCTACTTTCCATGAGCATTAGAACAACTCGTCATTTGAACTTAACATCGTACTCAGCTGCTGAGGCGATATGGCGTTGCCTACCTCTCACCCTGGCAGAGAGGGCGGGCACAGCGAGGAATCTAATCCCGGACCTCTGGGTTCCCAGACGTGCAGTGGTCACCACAGACGAATTAACCACTGCACGTCTGGGAAAATGTTTGCGCTGTGTCGACCATCGTCGACACAGCGCAAACAGCTTCAGCTTTCCTGCTTTGATGAGTGCCTTTTCATCATCTAGCCTATCCGTTTTCATGAATTATTCCAATTTTGTAGCATTGTAATGTTGCGATGCTGAGAGCTGCATGAATCAATTGAAGTATGTCGTGGAAGTACGCATTGTGGAAATTGCATTAGTTACCAAATGCACTGTCAATTCAGAAGACAATATGTATATTTTATTCTTAACATGAATGGAGACGAATTGAAATTTAAGTACATAGAAGGATAAGGGTAAATTCAATATTTTCTTGACCGCTTTGTTAACACAGAACGTAAAAATGTGTTGGCAAGTTGCGTATCTCTACTCAATTTTGAACCAAACGACTGGAGATCCTTCGTGAAAACGGCGATAGTTTTGCAAGTTGGTTTTCCATGCAATGTATGATAACCTTCGCAACTCGCTCATACCACTGCCACATATCATGCCATCGAATTAACGTATTGTTTAATGCCCGGTCTGCTGTCGAGATTCGTGTCAGTCTTACTGACATGTGACACATTGCCTTTGTCCCAATTTCGCATTCAATGGCGCGGTTCGCATCGAACAAACGTCAGTAATTGCCCTGTGAGCTCTCTATCGTGCCACACTCTATAGCATTAAGTGTTCTGCAAAGCCGTGACAAGCCTCCTGGGGCGGCTGATGTAAAGCCATGACAACTGGCTGGCCGTGGGGCGCCGAGTGGCCCCAGACCCAACTTAACGAGGCACACCACTCGACTCGACAGACCGGCAAAGTGAGGAGCTCCTACGGCTGCCATATCGGACAAAGTGCTGCCATATCGGCCAAAGTGCCGCCATCTGGCCGTTCGGAGCGTAATGGCGCTGATGGCCACACACACTGCGCCGTGAGTGCCGCGTCGCGCCATAATTGCAGCGCCCTTCCGACCGCACTCGTATTGTGGACTCAAGAGCAATGCCCGCTCTTAGGGGACCCTCCAGACGGAAGGGCGGCCTTTTTGGCTGGATTGCAGGCCCTTTATTAGAGGTTCTTGGCGCTGCGCGCCGAAGTGGCTGAATCTAGGTTAATCTCGGCAACGCTCAGGAGCTTAGTGCCAAAGGTGCTTAGTTGATGGGTCGATGCGGTCGACAGACCAGCCTCTACATACGCGATTAGTTGTCTTTGGCTGGTGTTGGCACAACTGGAAGCCTCCAACTTACTCCCCGGACTTACTGGGGAGTGCTGGCATGTCGCACATTCTCGGGAGGCCTCGTTATCTTCTCTCTACGACATGCGATCCGCCCGTAAAAAAAACATGTTTTGTGTTTTAGAAGCTTGTCAATTTCGAACCCACCCGTGGCGGGGTGGGTTCGAGTCGCTTTAGGGCGCTCGCTATTTGCCCTTGACAGGTATGGCCTGCGGCCGGTGGCAGCGGTCGCGCTAAAGGTCAGTTGACGTCAGAGGGCAGGACGGACCGTGCCGAGCATTGCGGCACGTTAAGCTTTCGCCACAAAATTCTGACGTTGACATGGAATTGCGCGATCGGATGGTAGGGGTCAGGGCTCACACAACAAGCACTGCTTAGCGTGAGCTCTGATCCCTGAAATCCATCCATTCAAAGGGTTCGGATCAAATCTTTAAAAAAAATTCTTTACTTTTATGGTTTAAAAGGTTGCCAAACAATAGCAAGCGCCAGCCAAGTATTCTGAATTAGAGTTCGAGCGCCATGCAGTCAGCATGCACATTTGGTTTCTGATTTATTTCTGCGACATTTCCAAAGCACCTCAAATCATATCCGAATGCGTTTTGCAAAATGCATGCAAATAGAAATATGAAGCTTGTGACCAGAGAAAAACAAGCAAGCTCCTGAACCGAAAACAATGGGTGGCGGCGACAACCAGCTTCTTGCACCGTGTTACCGTCGGAACCCTTGTTCCAACCAGATATGAAGATCGGCCTCCTAGTCTTCCTCCTGCCAAGGCTCAGATTTCAGTCCCGTGTTCATGCATGCACTGCCGGCGACCACAGCATGTGCGGACCGCCGCCCACGCAGACAGCACGCTATATGCCGTCTTCTCCCGTAATTAGGCATTCTGCGGTCGTTTGTAAACGTCGAACTGCTAATCAAGATAATCCTGCCAATTACGAACCGTGTGATGAATTGCCCGTGTCGAAACAGGCGCGAATGGCTGTAATTTGGGAGCAATGACGCGCTGTAGCGTCGGAATAACCGTTTGCAGCTGCCATCGATAACGTGTCGGTGGCGGTGGGCACCATCGGAACAGGAAGACAGCTATGATGCAACGCACCACTGACGGGACGTCGCGGCGTTTCAGGAAACTACTCCCGACTGGCTCTGCAAATTCAGTTCGAACGCTCCATGGGCTACTACCTGATCCAGATGTATGTGCCGTCGAGCCTCATCGTCATTATATCGTGGGTAAGCGGCGTGTGGGTGGACCGGCGTTGTCGTGATACTGTAACTGGATCGGTGAATGTTTCACGGCGGCCGCTGGTGCGTGCTGCACAGCCTGCAGTCCAGTACCGCTGGAACTAACCCATCCATAAATGAGACTGCCGTTAGATTATATCAAACGAGCACGTACATAGACGAGTTGGAAGCTCAAAGAAACTCAAGATGTTGTAAAAGCCACGACCGAATCTACGTTCCCGGCGCCCATCGCATTAAGCACAGGTTTTGTTTTTCGTGTGTACTCTCACTTCAGCCATTTCCTGTCACGCCAGAGTAGCAGGGTGCTCCATCGGTGTTCACGCCGACGCGGGACAGACATGGACAGACAGATGCGACAGGCAGACAGACGCAGGACAGACAGGGCCGCCTGGCCACATAACTGCATTACACGGGGCCATTGATGCCTCATAATGACGGGGGAGGGCCCAACGCCTGTTCGGCGTCCTTACTGTGCGCTGGGTGGACCCGCACCCAGATCAGGCGCCATCGACCGGCCGCCGCCGGCGGGGGAGGGGCCCTCCCCGGGACCCATGTCACAGACCGGCTCCGGGCTCAGCCGGGTCGCCGTCGGGTCCGCCCTTTCGACGTTCCGCTGGTCGGCTGGTGAAATACGGACCGGTGACGACCGTTGGCCGCTGGTATGGCCGCGCCGTGGCCCGGGAGAGCGGCGCGTTTATGCTGTCGCCGAATGGCGCTGGGTGCGGCACCAAGTCGTAGTAAACAGGGTGGTTGGGTGGTGCGGGACATCGCGGTTGTGCAACATCGCCTGCTTTTAGTCGCAAACTTGCATCGAATGGACAACATTGCCATCGATCTGATAATGCGAACACCATTGCGATGCTATCAGTGACATCATTATAATATGAGGTACTACGCGAATAGAATAAAAAGATAATACTTGTGCCGTAAAATGCGGGGTAAGTAATGGCGTTTCAACGTAGTTAAAATATTATCGTAAAGTGAAGCTTTTCCGGTATATCCTTATCTCTTCCCTATCTGACAACGGACAAGGTGAATTACCTTGGATGGGGTGTTCAGCATTGGTGTGCCGCTAAACTGTATCGTCAATCTGCATGTCAAACATTTCATCGTACAGGTATTGGGCGATTGAAGTATGATGCGTTTAATGGGTGGCGAAATGTAATTACAGGTCAGCTAGGTCGCGGTGCCTTTTGATGTTTTTTTAAACACACCACCAGGACGCGTCCGCGCGCGACAGCGTGTCAGCAGCTCCTGCAACCTTTCAGCACAATGCTAGATGGGATCTTTTCTGTGCATTTTCCTTCAATAGACTCTCGTCTCTCCTAATTGGGGTGTCAAATCGACCAATTAGTCTGAGTGGCTATCGGCGTTATTGGAGCACTGGGCACAAATCTTAAGTTTGGGTTCGGCGTTGCAAAACTTTGAGCGAGATTGATCGGCTCTAGATCATATCACGATGCGGCTTTCGTCACTGGGCGGGTTCGGGCGACCAAGGGAGCACGCATTAATGCATGAAGCTACACGAGTCGATGGAGGAGCGCTGGGCTTCGGGAAACGGGGTATGGCTCCTGCAGCGCTGGACGCGGGCCTGCCTGAGGTCAACACCACACGCCATGGCTGGTCCGAGGCACTCGTCAGCCCTGTTCGTGCCATAGCCGCAGTACCTCGCAGTGAACTCACTGGCGGTGAAAGGGCGTCGTAACTATCATAAGCTCACCACGTGGCAAGCGCCGATCCCCAACGTCGCCTTGCGTAAGTTGGGCTCAACTCAAAATATTTTTTAAAATTAAACAAGTGAAATACTTATATTACGTTACTGGCTTATGTGTTCTATTTCGTTCCTTAGAAATTTTCTACTCACGCTGTCGAAATTATTCAAAGCTTTGACGCTGGCACTGGTCTAACGTGAAGTGAGTACTGTCTCGTGGTACTGTCGTTATAGCAGTGCGTTGGTCGAAATGACTACGAAAGGAGTAAAGCTGCAAAAGTGGTAGCATTTTCTTTCCATGCTTTTTTGGGGTTCAAAAACAGATTTTTGATAGATGAATCTTCTCATGCAGGGAGAATGCGTGGCGTGTGTTTGTTGCATTCCGAATTATTACACCACCGACGTGAATGCATGCTATGCCAAACAGCGGATTAGAAGCATCTTGAAAGTGAGGGAGGGCAGACCAAACTCATGAGTCAATTCTTTTCATGCATCACCACACGGCTGATGTCAAATTTTTAAGAACGATCGTGGACCCATGGTGCGCTACTTCTCGTGGATGATAAAAGTTTTGGAAAGAAAAACAGTAGGACAATTTCACAGCGCTCTCGTGATCTGGTCTTTTCAGGTGAGTTTTTGGCTGAACCGGAACGCCACGCCGGCGCGGGTGTCGCTCGGGGTGACCACCGTGCTCACCATGACCACCCTCATGTCGTCCACCAACGCGGCCCTGCCCAAGATCTCTTACATCAAGGCCATCGACGTCTACATGGGCACCTGCTTCGTGATGGTGTTTGCCTCATTGCTGGGTAAGCCATGACGACTTTTCCTAACACCATTGTCTCATTGGAGCTTTCTCGGGTGCACTTTTATCTCATCGCTATCGGATGATGGACAAGATCAATTGCTTGGGATCAAAAGTGCAATAGTGGTACCGAACTGGGATTTGCCAATTGCAGGCTGTGTCGAAAACCAGTTGTTGACCAGGGCGGCGATTTTACTTCAATCGACCAGCTATTATGCACCTATTTTCCTGACATTAAATGATCTTCACGTGCGTTGTTGAACTGGGGAGCATCAGATCATTGTATGTACCAAGGACTCGAAGACTGGCACTCTCGCACTGATTCTCATGGGATACCTTTCACAGGATTTCTCCTGCAGACCAGACTGCCTAAAACATCGTCCGAGTTAGAGACAGAATTTGAGCCAGACTAGATCACGGCATCAGTTCTCCCATTTCGGAATGTGGAACAAACCTTAAAGGGGTTTAAGGTATACACGCATGCCTTGTTGAAGGTAGTCAATGCTATTCGGTAAAGTTGAATGCACCGCAGCTAGGCGCGGTATCAATGGATGGGAAGGAACATAAATATGTACTTAACCTGGGTCAAGGTCAAGTCAAGCCGTGAAGCCTATGTCACAATGTCAAGCCGTCATAACTGTTACACAAAATAACGGTACTTTGTCCAGGCACGACTCACACAGCTTGCGATAGTTGAGCATTTTCACAGCACATCCACGGTGGAAGTGTTGCCGTCTGTGCCTCGTCTATGCCCCCACAGAGCTGAGGCCAGCAGCCGTGACCAGTCGGTACTGTCTGTGCCTCGTCTATACCGCCACAGAGCTGAGGCCAGCAGCCGTGACCAGTCGGTGCTGTCTGTGCCTCGTCTATGCCGCCACAGAGCTGAGGCCAGCAGCCGTGACCAGTCAAGCACACGGCCGTCTTCTTACTGAACCGATCGATGAAAAGAACCAATTTCAGGGTTCACTGAAAGCAATCTGGTTACCCTGATACGCTTTGTCGGCGAAATCTGACCATATTTCATGATAAAATATGATGCTTGTGCAGAGGCTTTCTCAGAAAAGCAAACGCTGTTTTTCCGTTATCGACGGATTTTAATGACAAACGCTCTTCAACGCAGAAGGACGAGTATCATTAAAGGTCGACCTAATTCTGTATGCGGTATGTTTGTATCTTATTAATGCGGAACAATTACACAAAAAATACCAGAACATGTGACGAAACAATAGACGTAAAGCAGCAATACTAGTAAATAATACTCGTAAATAAAGAAGCGCAAACAATGCATGCGTGTAAAAGGTGAGCCCACTGTTTCATTTAGTCTGTCCTCCGCTATTTATTTCGCGTTTTAGAGCCAATTTGACCAGCGTGCGTTGCCGACCGCTTTGACCACCGTCAGCGACCAAATTGGGTTTAAAATTCTAATGTTTTTTTGCTGCTCATCTTAATGATATTGCACCCGATGCCAACTACGCACCATCAAGTCTGTCCTCGTCCTCGAGCGCGGAGGTCAGGCCCCCATGAGTCATAGCAGTATTCCCCTCAGCTGATTGCGCCAAGACCCTTCAGCACAGTGCGCCACAGAATGCCTGACACATGACGTGTGCATATTGCATGCCGTCGCCGATGACGGCGCTCCAAAGCATCGGGCCGTCATGATCTCGTCCGGAATGTGCCCGCGTCGCACCATTAACATGGTTTGGCATCGTCCCGTTAGCATAGTCGCGAGGAAATCATCCATAATGTATGCACTTGCAAAGCAGGTATCGAGACGATGTCATGTCAGCATCACATTTCATGCAGAGGCCAACCCGTGTTAGTTTCTAGCCAGCTTCCCACGCTTCGTACTGTCATACCATGTATTGCTTGACAAAAGTCCGATTTTTTCACAGTACGTGTTCAGCTGATGCCTGGCCTCACGTATACGTGGGCGTACCCATAAATGTTAAGAGAATCGAGTCGGGTAAAGTAGAGGCCGTGCCACTGTTTAGATATTGCAGCAGATAAAAACTGTCTGCATCCCTATCTTTGACACTGCACTTGGCTGGAAACTGTTCGGTTGTGTTTCGGACTTTGCTCCTGTGGCGGATATTTGGGACAACAGATCGATGCGGTTGACAACTTAGAACACTGAAGCACGATGTTAGCAATGACAGCTTGACCTAGAACGTTCATAAGGAAAATCATAGAGGTAACGTCGACAGCCTCAACAGACGATATCGCCCTAAATGCAGCATCGGCAGCATGAAGAAAATACTGCATTTGTCTCCTGCGGACTGGAGGCGCGCCATCGTATGGGCTCGATCCCCTCCTAATGCGTCAGATGCCGTCGAAATGCCTGTCGTTGGTGACCGAGATGGAATTTGTCATGGTGCGTCAACATCCCCAGTATTTATTGTTCGACCGACACGATGAGGATGCGTTATTCCATAGCCATCCTCCACGCTTCTGAGGTTTTTCTTAACAAGGTCTTATGGTCCCTGTAGCAAATAGCTGCAATGCATTTTTTATGAAGCTCAGCATGTTGACTGTATATATATATATATATATATATATATATATATATATATATATATATATATATATATATAGCCGCGCCAAACTCAGGAGTTGCCGACAAGTGTGGCGATAACATGAGCGGAAATAGCATACGTTTCCAGAAGCACTCCGCCTTCTTTACCTTCCCGGAGTTCGTTCGTGTTCTGATTGATGGTGTTCACAAAGGACAGGAGAGACTTGGGAGTTTACAAAGGACAGGATAGGCATGTAAGTTTTCAGGGAACAGAATAGACCTGATATTTCATAAGGAATGGAACAGACATGGGACGTCTTTTAGAAACTTGTTTGCCTCACCACCAGAAAACCTGTCTTTTAGACTTAAGATAATAATGGAGCTGGAAACAGGTTCCCAGGAAATCAAGTTACGCAGCTCATCAGTTTTGTCTGATTGCTGTAATAAAGCGTATGGGACATACGCAAAAATGTATTATCCCCGCCAATCACTCAACTATCAATCTGCCTTATGTCGGTTTATATCCCGTGCGACTTTTTTTTAGTATTGATAGCATGTGTGGCTCATGGGGAGAATTCATAATACGGGCCATCATGATTGGTCGGTCTGCGCGAATGATCAGCATGTGATGAGGTTTCTGCAACTGTCGGCAAAGCCATTAAGTCGAAATGAGTTTACTTTAGTTGGGCGTGTGTGTGTACTGGGCACACGCGAAAGTTTACATAAAGGGGCGCATCCTCCTGACGTTTGGGCGTTCGTCGGTGCTCAAGGAATGGGTCACAGACAGCTGTCGACGGAGATGCAATATTCCTTATTTTTCGTGTGTGCTAAAAATTTTTATTTATTTATTTTTTTATTTATTTTTATTTAATTTTTTAAAGTTTTTTGTGTGTGAGATTGCTTGCCACGCGCTGATCTGTTGGTAATATACCAACAAAACTGAAGTAGTTGATCAGTGAAAGAATTGCGGCTTGCTTTTGACTAAATGAGCTGTAGGTCATTATCCGCTGTTAATCAAGACACCTTGCATGCCATCGCTGAAGACAGGACTCCATGGACCATGGCATAAAAAAGACAAGCATTCTTCAATGAAACGATTTATTTTGAATCTTCAAACTCATACATTTTGTCGAAATAGAAACATTGGACGGAATAGTGTGGAATACGCTTCCGTGTAATTTACGCTAATACGTCTTCGCGTTTGTCAAAAAGTTCAGCATTCTATGCAAGCAAGCAAACAGGCGAGACACCCTCGAATTTGGTCTTGCATGTATGGCTGCGTTCACCTACTCGCTTCGCTCACTCATTCACTACATCTGACTGAATATGTATTGACGGACGCGTCACACGGCATGCCTCAAGCCCAGCGCCCGTGTCCGACACAGCCGGCCGCATTTACGGCGTGTTCTCGCCGGGCCCAGCACCGCTGCCTGAGAGAGCCGGCTCTATCTGACCCGTTCGACCGAGTTTACAGGGTTGCGCAGAGCATTCGCGCTTCTTTCGCCGCAACTGACCGGACTCGCCCAATAGTGTCCTCGATTGATATCACGAAGTCGTCCGCTGGTGTTCACTCCGTTTGATGTATCCTCTCATTGTGCTGTCCCGGTCTGTTCGTGTGCCGTGTTTGCCGTGCTCGTCGAACGCACCACAGTTCGCAGACGCGTCGGTGTGGTTCGCGAGGTGATGCTTACAGAGAGCGCCTCGCCGGCTGTACACCGGCTCCCCCAGCGTCCGTGTCTGACTCACTCGTTAGCGTCAGCCGGCGCCTTCTCCGAGGTCGGACGCGACGCCTTTGACGCCGCCGCCACCTGACTGGCTCGAGTCTGCCCTCAGAGTACGCCTACGTGGGCTACATCGCCAAGCGGATCGGCATGCGGCGAAGTCGGCTGATGGCCATCCAGAAGATGGCGCTGGAGAAGATGCAGCGGGACGTGCGGGACCACTCGTCGATGGTCATGACGTCCGACGAGCACGCGCCCAAGTCGGCAGTGAGCACCGCGTCGCGCCGCGCCGGACACGCTTCGCTGCAATGGAGGGCGTAGCGCGTCCTGCACCCCGCTCCCTGCGTCTGCGTCATTTTCCATGCGCCCCCCCCCCCCCCCCCCGGTTCTTGATTGCTACGTGCTGTCTCTGGCTTTTTGTCAACTCACGTGCGTTCTTCTGTTTCAGCTCATGTGGTGTATTAGTTGTCCAACAACCGGTCGACCCAAAAGCAGCCATAGCTCATTCTCTCCGTGTGTCCCGCATCCAGCACCTTGCATCTTGTGTTCTGTGGTCCAGTTTTCGTCTTGCATGTCCTGCATCCTGTCCTTTCTGCGCAATGCCCTGCACCCTTCGATGCATGGTCCGCGCCACGCCTCGGTCCGGCGTGCTGCGTTCTCTTTCCACGCGCGGTGTTTGTGTTCAGGGCCGTATCCCGTGCCAGCAGCCCGCGTCCCACGGTCTGTGCCGTGGACTCTGAGTGTATTTCCTTGTTTCCGTGACCGTGTTCTGTGTGCTGCGTTCCGAGTTATGTGCCATGTGTCTGAAGTCCTGTGTTCGTTGTCCGGCAGCTGTCGTCATACGGCTCTCATCCTCTGCTTTACGTTCTCCTCTGCATCTCTGTTTCTACGTCCCTTCTGTTCCGTTATTCATCGCACGCCATGTCGCCTACGTTCCATATGTGTCACCATGCGTTTCTGATGCTCACTGTGTCTTGTTTCCCGAACGCTGTCCTGCCCATCATATTAACGTTGCCCCGATTCCACCACTTTGTTTGCTGTGTATGTTAATTGTGTCTTGTCAGCGGCGTCCCATTACCATTCTCCTACGCCATGTCACTGGCCTAACGCTGCTGCAGCCGACGTTACATTCTGCGCCGCTTGTTAGCACAGCGCTTATTTGCATGGAAAGACAAGCATTGATAATTTTCTACACCAACAACACCCCTAGATGGTGTAGAGTTGCAATAACATGATTTATATATATATATATATATATATATATATATATATATATATATATGTGTGTGTGTGTGTGTGTGTGTGTGTGTGTGTGTGTGTGTGTGTGTGTGTGTGTGTGTGTGTGTGTGTGTGTGTGTGTGTGTGTGTGTGTGTGTGTGTGTGTGTGTGTGTGTGTGTGTGTGTGTGTGTGTGTGTGTGTGTGTGTGCATATACGTACACATTTGGTTTATGTCAATATCCGTTTATTAACTTATTTGATTTGCATCATAGACACACACACACACACACACACACACACACATATATATATATATATATATATATATATATATATATATATATATATATATATATATATGCATATGTATAGAACAATAAAATCCGGATCAATTGCCACAAAGTTGACATCAATATTTCAATAAATGTATGATAACTGAAGACTGCATTTGAGTTGAACAATCCGGATTCACTTTTCGCATCCAGCCTACATATTCTGTTTAGCGATTCCAATGTGACGTGTTTGTCCATAGCATCCGTGGCGTACATTCGTCACCTTTTTTCTTCATTATCTTCCATCCTATGACAGTCGTTTGGTCCTCTGTTGTCTTGGAGGCGAGGGGAATGGCAATTCACCACAATCTGTCTTCGGTCTTGGCCAAGCGGGGGCCATGCGATCGTCCTCATCGGGCATTAATGGGATGCGTGTGGGACAAGTGTGAGACGAAACAGAGCTATAAAAGGAGTGATAGGTGCACTACGTGGATGGTGTGATCAGGCGCGTTGGGTGGTCATTGATTCACAGCTATGGTGTGGGTTTTTATGCCATTTAAACTAAATTTTGATTGCTTTAAAGGTTGTAATACACGTAGCTTTTCAATTGATGTGTTGCACCTGCGTTGGCTGCACTGAAGTTTCGTAAAAAACTGATGAGTCCTAAAAATGTTGGCTCATGAACTTTGCACGCGTCCGCCATTTTATTTTGCAAAACATTGTCGCCAGCCCCAGCTTAAAGTAACTTTTACATGTTAGTTACCTCTGGGTGGCCTATGCTTATTTTAGGTTAAAGGTACCATTTATCATCTTGCATTACAACATTAGCATTACATATGTGCCCTGTTCCATGCATCTCGTTTTACGCACACTGATATCCTGCGTTCCTGCCTCCTATGCAGACACTTTTGGCCATGTCTTACCTGTTTTTTTTCACTGTCCTGTGCTCTGCGTTTTGTCACCGCTCTCTTTACTTTGTGCTGTGCTCTCGGGAATGTGTTCTGTGTTTACGCTTGTTACGTCATACGTGATCATAATTTCCCTTGAACTTGTAACCTGTTCTTGTGGTACATGTGCCCTGTTTCCTGTGGTGCAACGAAATGCTGTCCATGCCCGGGTTGTAAGTTGTTCAGTGCATTAGCGAGGAACATTATTCACATAGATGTGACAGTAGTATTAGCCTTATTCCTCGGAAAAAAACAGGATATATCTCCATTCTCCTGTTTTTTTCCGAGGAACAAGGCTAATATTACTGCCTTTTCAATGCCCGGGTTGTGTTTGCATACTGCAGTGGTTTCATGGAACCTTGCAGGTGCCCATCCTACAAGAACATCCTTTTTCACCAGACTGTGTCCTATTTTCAGATGACATTTCCATATGTTCGGCGCGCTGCCTCCTGCATTCCGTGCCATGTTATTATGATAGCAGTGCCAACTATTACACTGCGTGCTCACATGAGCGCTTTAACGCCGCCTTGTCTTTGGATAGGCTGCAATTCAAAGCTACTGCTAGCAATCCTACAAAATTAGAGGCGGGAATAGACAGTCTAACGTTTGTCAGCGTCTGGTCTGTACCATCTTCCTTGACGGGCCTCCCGCAGCGAACCTCAGAACAGCACGTCCCCTTGTTCACGGCATATCTCGCAGCGTTACTTGCCGCGCCCAGGCCTCGTCGTTTCTCTCCTCTCACGCCAGCGAAGCCTGAGGCAACCATACGCCGCACGGTTGGCCTAGCGCTGTTCCGTGGGAGTTTGCTGTCACGCACGCTCGCTCGCCGTGGAAATCAGATGGGTCGCCGCTCTAGTGGTTGCCTTTTCAAGTCTGCCTCCATTTCACTGAGTTGCACTCCCTCCCAAGACCCAAAGGAAGTTTGGAAGTTGTCCTTTCTCTTGCAAAGTTGGTCGAGAGGAAAACACTCTAGAACGCCTTTTGAAATGCCAGCTCTTATTCTCTATTGTAAAAGATTTAGCTTTGGGGACCGTTGAAATATTAAGGCGTGTCTCTGGTTTATTATAATTATCAGACTCCGCATATCCTTACAAACCATAACCTTGGACTGGTTCACGGCCCTCCAAATCCCTACCTGGGCTGCATTATTGCAAGCCACACGAACTATTTCGTGATTCTCTCTCGCCAAGGCTCTTTGTAACAGCAACGACCAAACTCCGCAGCTGTTTACCGGTGCCTTCCGTGCTTTGTGGTTGTACCTCAAGGTCTTGACATTTCCGCGCCCGGTTTAACTGCGTCTTGCCTTCACAGATGAACACGCTGCGGCGAGGTCATTCCGGCCACGGTGCTCACCACGGGGGTCACACGGGTCACTCATATCAATGCACCATGCAGCCCTGCCCGGACCACCGAGAGCAGCACACCTGCGTATGTACTTCACCGTCCAGATCGGTCTCCCTTCCGGGCACAAAGTGACAGAGCGGACGCTACCCTTCTGAAACCCACCGCCGAAGAATCCTAGAACGAAAACGGGGTACAGTCCGGCCATGTTCCCAACGCAGCGCTGCGTCTATCCCGGCTCCGTGGCAACTGAACTAAGAATACCTAATGTGACCTGTACTTGTCCCGAAACACAATGGCCTAGAGAGCCATATCTGCCTGCTCGTTCCGTGTAACGAGCAGACAGATACGCGCGGGCGGGTAGTTGCATGTTCGCCACCTGGGTGTCTTGACCGGAAAGATGTGACGATCCTGACATCTGTCCCCGGGACATTCCGACTGGGAAGTCCTGCAGGCCTCCCACCAGCAGCGTCCGTTCCCGTTACCTTCTGACAGGGTGTACGTTACGCCTCTTGTGGGAATCTGTCCTCTAGTTTCTAGCACGGAGCCAACGTAGCTTTCTCTGGAATATGTCGACTCGGAAGAAGGGACACCACCTATCGGGGAGTCACTCACGTCACACTCGTGACCCGGACGACGTCGTGACCTGGACGACCTCGTAGCCCGAACGACCTCGTGACCCGGACGACCTCGTGACCCGGGCGACCTCGTGACCCGAACGGCCTCGTGACTCGGACGATCTACTAACCCGGCCGGTAAAATTCGGTCTGTGCCTGGCCTCCGGGGGCACGCTCTCGCCAGGTGCTGCTCGCCAAGGTGTAGGGGCGCGAGTCGGGAAGGTATTTTCGGGGGTTAATGGCGCAGTTTGAGGCGCCTTTTGGAATATAGTTTAAAGCCAGCAATCACATTTCTTTGCACAACTGTGGCCGAGATGTGAAGGTTTCAGAGGATCTCAGTGAGCACCAGCCTGGGGTACGATTATGGGCTGGCATTAATATGCGGTATCCGTTCAAGATAAGAAGTCCGGTAATTTTGACGGAGAAGAGCGTAACCATTGGACATCATCGAATAGTGCTGACCTTGAAAAGGGCTTCAAAACCCCGAAAGAATTCAGTCAAGGTGTTTTGCCAACTTCCCTCATGAGGCAGACCAGGACACCTTAGTGCTCATTTCCTCATTGCTGGCTCGGATCACATGTGCGCGTCAGTTTTTCTTCTTCTTTTTGTGGTGATATCACCATCCGCCCTCATCCCCATCCTCGCAGTCATTGCAACTTAGGCAATCAGTTTTCACGGCAAAGTATATGATCGCAATTTATTGTGTCATTCGGTGTACAGCCACACAGTTTTCATATATGCCTTTTGCGGCGGGGCACATCGGGCACAACAAAAAACGTTTTTTTTTTTGCAAATCAGAAAGCTCAAGCCTCTCCTCCTGATTTATCCTCCTGATTTTCTCCACAAGTTTTGCTTTCAACTTTGGGCGTATGGGAGCCCAATACACAAGCGGTGCATCTTTACTACTCAGCTTTATACCGCCACAGCAGCAACGAATCTCCCGTTGCAAAAATAGTCGGCGCTGATTGTACTCAATACCGACTCTGGTCAAAGGAGTCATCTAAGTGATCATAACTTTTCCCTGCTTCAAGAACAGCTATCACTGGAAAAGGTTTTCAACAGATTCAGCCTCATCCGAAACGTGGGAACGATATGCCAACCAACATCTGTACCCTGTTTCAACTTCTACCTCATGTAAATGTGATATAAATGTGATATGTTACTATTGGAGTTAGTCTTGTTTGATGTGCAACAGCGGACCTAACAATAACGCTGCATCATACCTTGTTAAAGGCGGGTCAGGAAGTGCGAATCATAAACCATTAGCTAGAGCATTTCCTTCAGGACTGCATTATCATAATACCGGGAATATTTCATACGGGATGGTTAAAGTCGGCACTCGTCTTCTGTCGGAACACCACACGAAAGTTTCCAAGGCCCTGGAAGCATTGGCTCCTGTTGCGGCTTCACCAAAAGTCCCTCGTCGGAACCACCAGCACTATTCTCTTTGTTACTCTGACAAGATGTCCTCCTGAATTGTCAACGCAGGGGCAGAGGTTATCATGGAGATTCCTTCCGGTGGTCGAGTGACTGCCTCATTCTTGGAACCGTCTGCAGTGGAGTCAAGGACGGGGGGGGGGGGGGGGGGGGAGGGCGGAACCAGAGTCGATTCTGCTGTCGCAGCTGGAGATCGGTGCGTTTTCCGATTGGATGCTGCCGTAGTTTTGAGTACGCGAGTGCGGGGCGTCTGTTTTCTTAAGATGGTCTTTAATCAACAGCTGAAAGTGTCAGATTATGCAAAGATAATCTGACAGTCCTGACGCCCGCTGTTGGTTAGACGGCAATAGCGGGTAAGTCAGCTATTCGGTCCATCTGTAACATGACCTTGTCGTCATTGCCCCGTACCTCTGGTTTCTCAGACGTGTCCCTTGACATGGCCTCGATATGCGCAGCCTTTCCTGCCGGCTATTTCATACTTACGCATGTCGTTACTGTCCTCATGTCATATGTGAGCGTTGTGGTTGAGTATTGGAAACACCGATTCCGTGCTCTGGTCAAGCTGCAACGGCCTAATAGGCTATCAGCATCAGGGCATTGTGATGTTGTCCCGTGCCATCATGGATACTTTTCTACCTTCTCTGGCCTGTCCAAGATCGCCATTAGTTGTTCGGCGCCCAGTTTCATATGGCCAGTTCTTGTCAGAAAAAGGTAGCTTGAAGGCTCTGAATTTTTACCAACGACGAAGAAAGTGACGTCATCGTGACATGTTCGCTGAGCTCTGGAGTTTTGCTGCATACGTCGCCGACTGCATATTTCGCGATTCTTTGGTTGATGTCATTAAGCGGGGTGGCGGCACTGGTGGCGCATGGGGCGCCACGTCAGAAAGCCGGGATTGAATCTTGTACGCTGCGTAACTTTTTGCTGGTCCTATCGCAACGAACAAGGGTCGGAACGCTAAGGATCGTGTCGCGCGCATGCACTGATAGATGCGCCATGCAAAGACCGTGACACAACGACGCAGCGGCAGATAAATGTAATGAAACCGCGCATTATCGAAAGTTCGTACGTCAAGCAGCCTTGTGGCTTCATGCCACCTGCAGAATAGTTGTGAGGTAGTTTGCAGTCATCCTTTCTGTCCACTGAACTCTTTTCTCAGAAAAAATGTCGGCATTGTCTTTGAGGTGTGTCTCTCAGACAGATGCTATTCCGGGTGAAGACCTTCTTTTAGCGCCATAACACCACGTGCTAAAGCCGGGGAACATTCTGAGATCAACTTGTCTGTAGTTTCGTCCCGGCGAGCTGCTCCAAGAGGACATATTTTACCAGCCGCATTGCCAGTGCGTCGCAAACTTTTTCTATTAAAACTTCGCCATCCCACAGAATCAATCAGAAATTAAGATTTCATGGCGGCGGGCTGCTATGACGCCGCACGACAGCCGCCGGCTAGATATGACGAGCGGGGGCGGCTCGCGCAGCCCGGCAGTGCTCTCATTCCCGCCCCGTCAGCGTCCCGTCAATCAAACGCCCCCACATCGCCGGCCGACGGCGACCGTGCGGACCGTTCGCGACCCGGCGACCAACCCAGTGACCCCTCTGACTCCGGGTACGACCCGACCGCCCGTGACCCCGGGCGGCGCCTCGAGCTCGCCGCCGAGCCGCGGCGAGCCGGCCCCGCAAGCGCCGCGCCGGCGGTGACCTCAGTCGGAGCGCGGACGCATTAACGGCTGAGCCGGCGCTGGAGGCGGCCCGCTGTCCGGGTGCGCCACAGCGCAGCTTGCCGCCATTGATCAGCCGGTTATGTAAGGCGAACTGGATTTTCTGGCGATGGCTGCTGAGCCGCTGAAGGATAAGGCTTTGTTGGGAAAAGACGGCCGCTGGATGTGTATTGATCCCATGCTAAGCACCATTGCTGATGGGAGTTCGAGAAACGCGCGTTTGTACATCGCTCAGAATAGAGTTATTGGAATTCATATATCTGGAAATTGAGGCGTGGCTCGTATCACGCACCCCGCAATGTAGCTCGCACGTATTTTCATTGATGATCGCTCGGGTGTTCCGACGCTCCTGTTTAACGGGACTTGGTGAAACCTGAGCTCCTGGCTGCCCCTGGCCAACAACCTACACTGCTGTGCCACCATTGTCCCGGCTTCGTTTACCTCAGCTGTCACTGGCCTCTTTTTGTCCACAGGAGGTTCGGTTCAAGGTACATGACCCGAAAGCCCACTCTAAGGGGTGCATTCTCGAGAACACCCTAAACGGGGGCAGGCCCGATGAGGAAGCGGCCAACATGACTTGTGAGTGGAGCCATGGGGTCATCTTATAATGATGAGCCCTGTCCGGGTCAACTCTATACATTGTCATACTATTAGTCCTCAGTTTCGCCGAACCAAACCTGCCTAAATACCTCCCTCCCTGTTTCCTTAAGCCGGCCTTCCCGGCGCATTGCCAAATGTGATGAGCACTCATACCAGCGAAGCTGAAACCTCCGTCATTATGTAAGGACATCTTCAGTTACGTGCCTTGTCTTACCCAATGCAAAACCCTGTTACCGCCACCCTGTTGTAATGAGGTCACCTACGCGAAGTGTGCGTGGCTGTGGATGGTTACCATTTCAGTTCGCTTTATCAAGCTGTTTCCTGTTTGAGTTTCACTGAGAGACCCTTAAAAATAGACTGAACACTTCTCCTTCATGCTGTTTTGATGGCCATTTTTTCACTCTACTCACAGTTCGGTCCTTGTCACTGTAAAGCACTCCACTTGGTGCAAACGTCCCTTCCGCCTCTCCCCGGAGCGCGTCTCGGCGAGCGCGTCAGTGATGCATCAGATATCCTCCCATCACGCCGTGTCACGTGTTTGATGCGTCACCGGATGCCCGAGGTGCACCGCCTTAATGCGTTCGCCAGTCACCCAGTGTTGGCCATTCATCAGCGCTTGTTACGCGAGGTGTGATGAATCTTCCAGTTTTGGCGATCTGCTCCACAGATTTTGGCTCTGATATCGAATACGTCCACAATTATCCTGCCCATCACTCACAGAGGTGTATCACATCAGAATCTTCACGACGTTCGTGACACAGCTGCGTTTCCTTCCTGTCTGAACACATTCGTTTACGTGTCAGCGTCCATTTGGCTGCGAAAACCGTGACGTCTTTCTGAGTCTAGGAGACACAGTTGTGTTTCCTGGTATCATATCCAAAGATGAATTGGTCGCAAAATGCTTTCATCTTATTCAGACCGCTTTTCGACGGTAAAGAGCGCCATCTGTCTTCCCGCAGCTCTAATGAAGAGCAAGAAAGTCAACAAACTCTTGGGCTGTAGTCCATCGGACGTGGACAAGTACTCCCGCATCGTGTTCCCCGTGACCTTCATCTGCTTCAACCTCATGTACTGGATCATCTACCTGCACGTCAGCGACAAGGTGGCTGAGGACCTGGTGCCGTTCGTCAAGAAGTGATCTCGAACACCCGCACGCCCTGGAGGCCAATCAGCACGGTCACTGTCCCTCACACCGGCACCCGAGTGTTCGCACCGGCGAGGGCGGGCGCTGCGTCAACGAATCGGTCGGTGTTTTTATAAGTATTTTTGTATAGACTCACCAGCATTCGGGCCTGCAAGCGTCGGCGCATCGCAAACACCGAAGTTGTGCGCGCTGGGGCGCCGCCGGCCTCCAGACTGGCTCTGGATGGAAGCCGAGGAGCGGCCGCTGCGGCGGCGGCGAGCTGGCGGGCGGGCGGAAGACCCCGCCGTGCGCTGCACCCCGTACCAGCGGCGCTGGGAGGCGCACCGTTCGCGACGGGTTGACGACGACAGACTCCTGGGCCACCCCTGCATCACCGGTCGGGGTCGATTAGGGCGTTGCTGGCGGCCCAGCACGGCGTGTGGCTTGCACGTTCCAGCTGAGCACTGCTCAAACGAGCTAGACAATCTAGCCTCCGCGGTGAGGACAACGGTGCGGGTTCGCTCGCACGCCGTCAGCGAACTGGAATCCACAGTGCTCCTGTCCTTTTCTAACTTACTTACTTTTGCTGATGAGTCGTTTACCGGCTACACTGTGCGTACGTGTCTGACCCATATTGGCGTGACTTTTGTCAGCACACCAAGCGGAAGCTTTGAGAACTGAGCTCGCTGCTCGACGTGGACGAATCCATTCACGAATTTGCTCAAGAGGGGAAGACTGTGCCGCTAAGGATGGACGCATGCTGCCGATGGGGATTGAAGAACGGGGTCGCTTGTGGAAGGTGCCAGCAATAAGATGCTCTCTTTTCATCTTGTCTGGAGTGTTTCCGCGCGATCTTTGCAGCGGCGCTGTGCGAGTGATATGTTTTGTACTACTGCAGCTTGGCACTGATCTGGGCGAACCATTCGAAGCTAACAGCACAGCTGCTATGTAAATTTGGTTGCAAATGGACGATGCGAATCGGAGATGTGTGCGTGTGATGTGGAGAAAAACACCGACTCTGGTCTGAGCTTTGCGTTAGATGGAAGTAGACATGCCAGCTTAGTGTGCACCATGGAGAAGTCGGGATACAACATGTGAAATGCTCTAACGTGCTATATTCGCTGTTACTGAGACGCTGAATAAATTAGGGGATAAGGGGAAAGTTGTTCCACGACTTGTGCCATTTAAAAGATGCTACTGTCGCCAGTTAGAAAAAAATGGGGTTGCCTTCTGATCACTGGACAACATTGTGAATTATAAGATATCGCGCTGATAATTCGAGCTGTACAACAGCCAGCGATACCAGGAAGCGAACAATTTATATGGGCATGTGATGCTTCATGCGGTGACCTCTTGACAATTTACACAGAACGCTTTACAGAAGGCATTTGCATTCGTCTTGGTATACATGAATAAAGAATTAATTTCTGCAGCTGGGCATGGTTGCCAGGAGAGGAACGTGGAACTGACCTAAATTAAAATGGTTGGTACCTCTTCAAAAACTACATTTTTACGACACAAATAACCATATTGGCATGTTAACGATAATTATAACGCATTCTATACAATCGTTGTCTGCTCGAGGTGACGCGCATGAGTATCACCATTTGCCAGTGAAAAGATTATGGAAACAATGTTCAGCCTAGTTTTGGGGGACTTTCATGCCCAGAACCCCACCCATTTCCTAAAATCGGCAGGGGGGCTAAGCCAGAAAAATTGGCCTCAGCTATCCCCAAGTCACGGTTTCACCTGGATTTCGGCCACTTTAATTTGCATCCCGGTGCCAGCATTAAACAACCCATTTTGATATTCGGTCAGCTCCAAAGCAGTTCTCATGCTGAGAAATGACTTCCCATTTGAAGTCGATGTGAATACGCATTTTTTGTAAAAAGTCTAGAATGGGGTTCAGAGAAAAAATCTGAGTAAACCTGCCGGCTGTGGTGAACGAAAATAGATGTAGTGTGTGGTTCATCAAGGGTGGTCCGAGGCACAAAACAGACAGTTTTATACGGAGTGGTGTGACGTAACACGTACAGACGAGATGTTACAAAGAATAGTGTGTCCTGCTAGGATGCATCTATAAAAAAGTAAACTGAGCTGCATGCCCTCGACGGACATGTAGATAACTGGAAGGACATGGACGGCAAAGGCTGACGCCTGGACGGTCACCGGAGTATTCGTTTGAAAAGGAAGCGCGACCAATGCTTTGAAGCGTGCTGGAAATTGTTCAAGCAAAAAAGATCTCGGACTCTGGTGTTCTGGCGGCATGAGCCGAGCTTTTTGTGTTGAAAATAACCGATCTTCATTTTAGCAGGATGTTGTGCGTTTACGATATCAATTAAGTGTTCACCACGTTGAGGAAACCTGACGTTTGGAAGCTGTGCTTATGGTTGGATTTCTTCGGAAACATTATCAACACCACTCCAATGTCTCTTTCGCTTTTGAACATACCGACACACAGAATATAATAATTCCATTCTTCGATACCACTTTTCTTTGCTCAACCATTGGGAAGACGCGCCACCGAACTTTAACTTAAACCGTCCTGTCCCGAAATGTGTGTACTATAGCTCTCCGATAGCTCAGTTGATTGACGCACTTTCCTTGCTGGCCCCCTAGGCGTTCGCTATTTGCCCCTGACTGGGATAGTCTGCGGTCGGTGGCAGCGGCCGAACTGACGGCCAGGTGACGTCAGAAAGCCGGGTGGGCCGCGCCGAGCATTGCGGCACGTTAAGCTTTCGCCACAAAATTCCAGCCGTCGGCCTGGGATTTTATGATCAGATGGTGCGGTAAGGGCTCAAGCAACAAACGCTACTTAGCGTGGGCGTTCATACCAGAATACACCATTCAAGAAGTTTAAACTAAATATATTTTTTAGATTATAAGGGGCGCCATACCACAATGCATCACAATGTGGCGCACAACAAGGCTGCTAAGAAGGTAGTTCATGTAACATAATTGCGGAAAGCGGTGTCTGCGTCTTGTGATCACTTGTCTTCTCAGCGCTATGGTACTAAAATATTTTTCCATGCGAACGGATATTCGAAACATTGAATGAGGGCCCCTGGCTGTGTCGTAAAATCTCGGTTTAACAATACAACAGTATCAGGGCCATGAAGAAATCGCAGAAATATGCAACAAATAGACCGCCTTTACGCAAAATTATTGCTTATGCAGCGTTGCACAAATACAAGTTAAGCTATGTTTTACTGAACGATGGCAAATGAATTTCTCCCACAATCGAGAGTGCGAGGTCATTTAAATGACAACAAATAATGCCAATGTCAGTTATTGGTGATCTCACATTATCAAATCATGACTATATGGAGGACGCTTTGTGGACGAGAACGAGGGTGTTGTTAACACCACCTGAGAGCGGCACGTCGCTGCCTCTCTGACAGCCTCTCTGGGCGGCCCTGGAGCGACTCCCCTTAGAGAGGCTCCAGCGAGACGGCGTGGCACCGCGTGCAGCACACTGGATGTCACTGGTCGCCGCTGGTCGCCACTGGTCGCCACTGGTCGCCACTGGACGTCACGCTGAGTGGTCACCTGAGAAACCACGTCCGCATGGACAAGCCAGAGAACCTTCAAGAGCTCAACGTCATCTTAGACTCGATATGGGATGCATCACCGCCGACCGTACCGACAGGATAACCGGCCACCCGCAGCAGGCTCAGCTGTTGCGCATCCTGGACCAGCCAGGGGCCCGCCTGGAACATCTTTTGTAGTCTCTATATGACGGCTGTAGAAAATCTGACCACCATTTCCCTGTTAGATGCTTTGCATGAAACTGGCAGTCAAATGCCATCACAGTCATGACTGGACACTTGTCACTGTCACGGAAAAAGTTGGTCATCTTTCATCTGGGGTACACTTTTATTTAGAAAGTTTCGATATCATGGCCGATTTTTAACGTTGATCCCACTGGGTATCTCATGAAAAAACCTGTTAACGTTTGCAGACTGGCCCAACGTACAAGAGAGTTGGATTCAAAAGAGCACAAGGTACCTGCAGAATAGTGGCGTAAGTATCTAGTTTACAATGAGCTCAGGAAATTTGCGCTTTTTCATAGGCTCAGAAAGTGCTTTTCTGCTTATTTGCATTTAGGCAGAGAGAAGGGCTCTTATGCACTTTGGGCGTTAATGCATTTTGGGGAGGCAGAGGGCTCCGAGGAGCATTGAGGGGCATCGTAAGCATTGAGGAGGGTGTGGGGGTCAAGCTCTCCCGACAGTATGCAAACTGACGCTCCTGGCCATACTCTTCATAATCGTATTGTGGTTGCCAGTTTTATGTTCGTACCTGGAAATACATCCTCAACGTTGAAAACCACAGGGCGAGGAAGAGGGAGGGAGATAGATAGATAGAGAGAGAGAGAGAGAGAGGAGAGAGAGAGAGAGAGAGAGAGAGAGAGAGAGAAGAGAGAGAGAGATAGAGAGAGAGAGAGAGAGAGAGAGAGAGAGAGAGAGAGAGAGAGAGAGAGATGTAGAAGAGGAGAGAGAGAGAGAGAGAGAGAGAGAGAGAGAGAGAGAGAGAGAGAGATAGAGAGAGAGAGAGCGAGAGAGAGATAGGAGGAGAGAGAGAGAGAGAGAGAGAGGGAGAGAGGAGGAAGTCATATCTATTTTGGTAGTCACAAACGAGTAGTACCAACAAATGCATCTGAAATAATAGAAGAACAAAAAACAGAGCAGTGGTGGCCGAGAGGCCGTAACGCAAAGTACATGGTCCTGGCCTGAACAGTCAAAATTACTCACCGTTTTACGACGACAGCTGCCGGCTCAGAATATTTGACCATTCAAAATAGTCATGGTTCGGTATTACATTCATACAAACCAGTAAATCACTTTGTGGGGCATGGAACGAGCAGTGAGATGATCACGGCTGTAGATACGCTTGTCCAAACACACGTCAACATGGAACCTTTCGGTGCAGCTATCTGTGTCTCAGGCAACCCTTAGTACGGCGCTGTGTCTCTGGTGTTAAAACGCGGGGTTTGAAAAACTGTGATGATGCTCATGGTGCGTTCATTTCCAACCACATACAGGTACGATCTACGGAGGCCTTTCGGCTTGGCCTTCAGCGTTACGGGCAACCTTTCGCACAGCATCCATTATCAGGTGTTAGAACGTGAGAAGCTGACTAACTGAAAGATGTTGACCTCCCCTGATTAACAGAATTTGCACACATCCAAAACATTTTCTGTCTTTTGCGCAGCTCAGGTTTTGAGCCGTACTGTGTTTTGCCTAGCATTACCCAATCGTGACCGTAAACACTGGGATATGTTGCAAGTATTCCTATGATATACTGTAACAGATGTTTGATGTCTTCGATTAACCTGTACCTCCCGTTAAAGGTCGTCTTATGCATTGTACTCACGATGCTACAAAAGTAAGAAGCAAATCGGCTTTCTTGTTAAAACAACGCTAGACACTTGCCTTTCATGACAGCTTGACAGGCGGAGGTCTGCTGGTTAAGCGTTCTCGCGCCTCTTCACAAACACCGCTGTTTACAATTTGGTTACATTGAACCGTCATGCCCAACTCTCTCCCTCTCTCTCTCTCTCTCTCTCTCTCTCTCTCTCTCTCTCTCTCTCTCTCTCTCTCTCTCTCTCTCTCTCTCTCTCTCTCTCTCTCTCTCTCTCTCTCTCTCTCTCTCTCTCTCTCTCTCTCTCTCTCTCCGTCTCTCTCTGTACCACATAATTAACTGTCTGCGAGATAGTTACACTAGTGGAGACCTTTCTCGTGTCAGTCTTTCTCGCGAGTCCAACAAGGCGAGATCTTGTCAAACACAGCTTCTATCTTCTGGTCATTTACACGCATCAACACTCACGTCACAACGTCCACCCACACAACCAACAGCGGTCTTGCGTTTTCGAGTCAGGAGAGAGAGAGAGCATCTACACGGTCACCAGTGGTATGGATTATATACGGTATGCATCGGAAATGATTCAGGGTCGTAGGTTCCAGAAATGACGTGATAGTTTACCAATGAGAAACGAGTACGACGCCTTCCGATGGTCGCCCAAACAAGTAAAAAATCAGGCATCGTCTTGCAATCCCAGAACGATCTGATGCAACTAGCATGTATTGCGACGCTGAAGGCGACATTTTAAAGGAAGTATCGGATAGCATTTTGTAAGCCAGGCATCTATACACATAGGGAATTGATGTCCTTAGACATCTGGAGTGACAGAGAAACATTAGGTGAGGACATTGATTAAGGGCAAAATAAGTAACAGAATGTCCCTAGACTTACATATGCCGAGAAATATAACTTTGTTACACACTCTCTGCTCTGCTTTGGTCAGAGCGCCCTGCTATTTAAGATATCTTTATGCATTGGTGTCATTTGCCGCTTTCCGCTTCATTACTACATTGCTTACTGGTCAAACATATTTGAGATGCATGGTTAAGTTGGGCCCAGTACATTCGCCTA